AAAATTGCCCTACTACCTGTTCGTCCATCCAGTAGTGTTGACCGTTGTTAATATCTGCGGAGAAAGGCCTAGCACTGGCGTAAGGAACAGTGATTCGGAGTCTTAAATGTGAGATCTGAGACCTCCCCCCACCACCCCCCTCCCCTCACCGGGCCCCGGGCGCCGCCCTGGCCCGCGCGGTGGCCCAGTGGGCCGGGCCCGGCGCCGCCCTGGCCCGCGCGGTGGCCCGGGCCGGGCCCGGCCGGTACGGCTGAGTGGCGGGGGCCCCGGCCTTTCACCCCACCCCCTCCACATCCTTTTTCCGCAATGTCCGGACCCCCCTCTTGACCATTCTTGCTTCCTTCCAACCACCCCCCTAATTCACAGTCGTCACATAAAACAACCTTGCTTGATCCAATCGGTCCTAGCAGGGTTCTAGAAGCTTTCTAGAGAATAATATCATCATAAGAAAACTGGTCTTAGGAATAGGACTACTAGGACCGTCCTATCCACCAGCCCCCATTCTGCTGTTTATGGTGCGCGCTGTCATGGAGTTTGCGGGCTTCTTGTCCTCCTCCCCTTCCTCATCCTGGGCTGTCTCTGGGCGGACAATGGTGGCAATTCCTCTAGCTATGGTGCTGTGCCTTGCTGCCTGCCCCATGCAGGCCAACGCCTTTGCGTTTCCTGCAGTTCCTACATTACCATCAAGGAGTGCTGGTAGCAATGGCATGTCATTTCGGAACAGGTCCCCAGCACTTCGCATGGTGGACACTATGGGAGAGGAAAAATCAAAAGTCAAAAATGTTGAAGAGGTGACAAAGAAGTGGGGCCTGGAAGCAGGTCTCTTCACTGCACTAACGTGAGATATCATCGTGTTGTGATATGAAAACTGACTTTTGGAAAGCAACAAGAACAAGGAAGGGCCAGACGCAAAGCAGCTCTTGGCAAAATATGGTTCTGCATACTTGCTGACATCCATTTCTCTTTCACTTGTCTCTTTTGGAATTTGCTATGTAAGCATTTTGTTTTGTTGCCTGTTGAATTGGATGACTGTTTTCAGGTTTTGGTCGACAACGGGGTTGATGTGGCCGCTTTATTGTCCAAGGTTGGAATCACAGCCAATGGAAACACGGAGACTGCTGGGACTGTTGCTATTGCCTATGCAGCGCACAAGGCTGCTTCACCCATTCGGTTTCCTCCCACTGTTGCTCTGACGCCGTTGACAGCCAAGGTACACTCGTTGTCTTGGCTTTGATTTGAATGACATTGCTTCTGCAGTACTTGTTTAACAAGAAGGTTGAAGACTCTTCAGATGAGCAGCAATAACCCGTCATCCTTGACGACTTGTAGCAGAACACTGTTTCAGTAAACGGACCTCGCACCTTGCGCAGACTCACTCAATTTTTCTGTGCATATTGGAAGAAACATGGGCCAATATTTGTGAGTGAGACAGAATCATACTATGCAAACTCTTGCATTGAATGTGGGCGATCATTCAAGCTTCTTTGTGCCAAAAGTCTGATCGTTTAGAATGACCAGGAGTCACAACGCTTGGAAGACCAACTCCCTGCTTGTGAGCGATCAGACTGAAAAGCGAACAGGAGTTGTGGGAGAATACGCACCTTGGCCACTGATGACAAGACGTTCCATCCTCGTAGAAGTTCATGCTGAAGCTCCGACTCAATTTTCAACGCCTGAAAATTATCACATAATCAACAACCGCAGTTCGCTCGTCTTCAATCTCAACCTCCTCCTCGCTCGTATCCACGTATGTCCTGTTGAAGAGTTGTTTGGCACCTGGCAAGCTCTGCCGTCATGCAAGCTTCCTCGACCTCCTCATTCACACGACGACCTGCCACAGCATCTGGCGATTGATTCGAAAGAGTTTCGCAGAAGGCCATTGCTTCCTCGAATGGATCATCACAGAGCTGCAAAATCTAATCAGCAACACAATCAAACACACAAACGTCGAGACCTTGGTAACCAAACCCAAAGACTGATGACATTTAGGTCATGAAACGTGTCCATCAAAACTTCCCACAAATCATGTTTCCTACCTTTGCCTCTTGTGCGTCAAAAATCCTTGCTGTCATCGTGAGTTCCTTTGCCACATCAATGGGCACCTAAAGATCCTTGTGATGACATGGACATGTGCGTTCAACCAATTTACTACCAGCTCTCTCAAGGTGATTGTGGCTGACATGTCAGGCACCAACCCCCATTTTCCCTCCATGATGCTGAATTTGCAGCTCTTGTCAGAAAATCTGCAAATTCCCCCTTAAAATTTGATGGTAGGAGAGAAAAATGCTGCATCCGACCTGAAATCAGCTCCAAGAGCTATCTGGAACCCGCCCCCGAAACATACTCCATGAGTTACCTGTGTAAACTTCAGCTAAACGAAATACACGCTTATCCTCGTATCACAGCAATGACAGGTGCAGGAACTTGTCTCCATAAGTATCCAACATCCTGCCATCAAGAAAACAAAGTGATTCGATGGTCAGGAGATGAAGGGGCAGGTGATACTTGTGCCAGGTTGGACAGTTTGCCTTCAGGGCGCTGCATTAGCTTTCGGATGGATTCTACAGACTAGAAGTAATTAAGCTTTGACTGAACACTTCAAAATTACCTTTAGAGGATTTGTGATGATAGACTTGACGTCCAAACCAGAGCAAAATGCCCGACCAGCACCTCTCAATACCACGACTCGCGTTTCTCTATCTTTTGCTACATCTTCGGCGGCCTTGGCGATTGCACGAAACATGTTGAGGTCCAGAGCATTGAGCTTATCTGGGCGAGAGAGTGTAACGACAGTGGCGTAGGATCCGTTCTTCAAGGTTCTGCGTTCCAGGATGAGAGGCTCGTCCTCCTGTGCGGCGGTTGAGAGCGTTCGCCTTGGAGCAAAGAGCACGGAGGCAGGGGTCGAGGAGCATCGCACAGCACAATGAGCAGCGCGAGGGCTCGAGGAGAGGAAGAGACCAGAGGAGTGAGGAAGTGAGCTGCTCCACAAGCCAGCAGCATGCGGCCTGGTGCTGATGCGCCTAAACCCCAGCATTATGCAGTCGCTGCACCTTTCCGCAGCGAGCCCGCGCCGGGGAAGTGCTATGCGTACATAAGTGGCAGGTGAGGGCTGGAGGAGGGAGGGGAAGGAGGAATGGGGCTGCGAGACAACTTGCGACTGGCGTCGATAGTATGGAAGGAGTTCTGGGGTTATGGGCAGAAGGTGAGACGACAATGGGAGAGAGCATGCGCGGCTGAATGATCCATGCAGGAGTATGAAGCTCTCAAGCTGAAGAATGAACAGATGAGGTCACCTCTTGTTGCATGTAAGCATGTAACGCTGCGGGGATTGAGATGTCGGTGCAGACAGAGGCTGAAAGAAATCCAAGAGATGCACAAGAATTTAGACATGTGGATACTTTCTTTCTTTTGATGTTCATCTTGCTAACATCTCAATGTCAATAGCGAAATCGAGCAGAGGCGTGCTCAGATGCTTCAGATGGCGGCTAGCTCTCTCAAGGTAAAACCTCCTTGTTTGCTCGCCCTCAACTCAGAGCCTGTGCAAGGATCTTGATGCAAAGATGAACAAAGATCAGCAGGGTGAGATGTTGTGGCGCAGTCAGCGTATACTAGACAACTGATGATGTTTCTTCGTCAGAAATTTCTCAAACAATGTCCAAAGACCTGGACGACCTGATGTCGAAATTAGAGAAGCATTCTGCAACGTCCGAGGCTGAGCTTCTTCAGCAGATACAGAGTATGGAAATTGAGGTTCCGAGGAGAGGAGAGAAGAGAGACGCTGCTCCGAGTCCAAGTGGTTCAGGGTATCAAGGTGTGAACAAGAAAACCAACTCCCCCAAACAGCCTAACAAAGGGAAGAATGAACTGGCCTCTTGAACGGTGAACTCAATACATTCGTTAAGCGAGTTTCCGTCCCTTGCTACCTCACTCGAGTCGATCTTTTGGCATCTTTCTGGCCTCGTCTCTACCTTGCAAAGTTCTCATCATCCCTTCAAAGATTGCTTGCCAGCTGCCTCTTGAGGAGCCATGCTCACAAGCTGCTGCTATCATGAGGATGGCTATGACTGTGCATTCCCAGGAGATGAGCGAACAACACTAGAGGAGGGTATGGGACAATTTTGCCAAGTCTCAGAGGGTCCGCCCAGGAGAGGGATAGAGCGACGTGGGATGGTAGTGAAAGGACGAGCATCGGGGTAGAGAAAGACAAGTCAAGTAAGATGAGAGAAGACCACAGTCTGATATCTTGCTGGAGAGATGAAACAAGACTGGAACACTGACAGTCTGATCTTGTTTTGAGTGCAGTCAGAGCGATCGAGATTGTAGAATCTCAAGCGGCGGAAGCTTCTATCAGCCAGACTGAAAATTGAGGGGTGGGGGGTGGGTAGAAGACTAAATGACATGGTGGGTGATCCAGACTTTCTCTCAAAGGTCGCGCCATATTGACCTTTGTACCCACCCAATGAGCATATAAATACACCGGTGTCGCTTGGTTAAATGGGTCCATTCTAGGGGTAGAAGAAGAAGGGGTGGGGTAGGTCCTCATGGGGTTGTTCCATTTTGATCATCTTCACGTGCGACATGCCAATGTAGCGATGCCGATTCATGCAATGCCAAGGACGAAGACATGAGGAGGAGAGGACGAGAGGAGTAGAGGAGTGGAGGAAGAGGTCATACGAGACCAGGCTTGACAAGCAAATGAATAGGAAGGCAAGTAGGTTTTAGGAGAGGAGGGAACCTGACAGGACGAGAGAAAGAGAGGGGGATAAGAAAATCGAAGAGATCAGAAGCACAGAAGATGACGATGAGAAAATTTTACCATGCACAAGCACAGATTATTGTAGGAGTTTCTCGAAGCATGATTATGAGAGTGAATACTGGGCCAGGATTGACAGGACAGGCACACGACCTCTAATCTATACAGACTTGTAACATGTTGCAACTTCTCCATCATTTCTGATCTTCCATTGATCTTATTTTTACAGATGAAGAACCCAATACCCAGCCAAGAAAAAACAAAAAAGATTGCAGCAGAACAACCCGAGACAACAGGAAAAGAAGAGAAAATCAAACAGAAGAAGCGAAAAAATGAAGAAAATCAAGGTGAGCCTACCAAGAAGCAGAAGGGGGATGGAACGAAGCTGGTTGTTCTGGACGACAAGGTACAGTACCTCCTGCATGCGCCTCTTCTTGTGACCTCCAAGTGTATCAGTCCGAAGAGAATCAAGCTGTCGACGGCATCCTGACAGCCCGCAAGTTTGAGGAGCTGAACATCTGCGAGGAGAGCAAGAAGGGGGTAGCCGATCAAGGCTTCACGTGCATGACGGAGATTCAAGCCAAGACCATTGCTCCCTTGCTCAGTGGCCGTGAGTTGCCTGCAGCTCCCGCGCTCTCCTGCTCCTTTGACGATCTTGCTGCAGGAGATGTGCTCGCTCAAGCTAAGACTGGCTCCGGCAAAACCCTTGCCTTCCTCCTCCCCTGCATCGAGTTGCTGTAAGCCCGTCAGCTTGTTTGGCTCCTCTGACCCTCTGCCAGTCATAAGGGTCATTTTGCGCAAAGGAACGGAACTGGAGCAATCGTGCTCGCCCCCACGCGAGAGCTGGCCCTGCAAACTTACGCTGTGAGCTTTCCCTCCCTCCCTCCCTCCCTCCCTCCCTCCCTCCCTCACTCACTCACTCACTGATTGTTGGGATTGTTGATTGACACGAGGCGCTGATGATGCCGTGGGGAGCAGGTTGCGCGCGAAACGATGAAGTATCACAATCACACGCACGGAGTGGTCATGGGAGGAGCGAACAGACGAGCGGAGGCAGAGAAGCTGGTCAAGGGCGTCAACCTCCTCATCGCTACTCCTGGGTCGAAGGTGCTGCTGCCCGAGGCCTCCTGACGCTCCTGCAGGCGACTTCTGGACCACTTGCAGAACACCAAAGGGTTCATATACAAGAACTTGCAAGTGAGAGAAGAAGCAATGGAGAGGAAGGGAGTGAGGGAGAGGAAGGGAGCGAGGGAGGGGAATGGAGCTAGGGAACTGGTGGAAAGAGGGAAGAAAGAAGGGGGAAAGGAGAAAGAGAGGGAAAGAAGGAACAGGAAGGATGGTGACGCGTCACGAACGCAGGTTCTTATCATCGATGAAGCGGATCGCATCCTGGAGCAGGGGTTTGAGGACGAGATGAGAGAAATCTTGAAGCTCCTCCCGTCAAATCGACAGAGCATGCTCTTCTCAGCCACCCAGACCTCTAAAGTTGAAGACCTGGCCAGGTTGTCTTTGAGAGGAAAGCCAGGTCAGTAGAGGAGGAGGAGGAGGAGGAGGAGGAGGAGGAGGAGGAGGAGGAGGAGGAGGAGGAGGAGATGTTGAGACTATACATAGTGATCGTGGGATTGGATGAGTCGAAGAGCAGTCAGCAGCATTCCAACACAGTCCTGTCAAGCACGCAGCAGGGCTACGTGGTTGTCTCGTCAGAGCTGAGGTTCCGATTGCTCTACACCTTCCTAAAGAAGAACTTGAATAAGAAGGTCAGAAGCAGCTGCCGCAAGATCCTCTCATGCTGCTGCTGCCCGACAAGCTCTGACGGCCCGCAGGTGCTGGTTTTCTTCTCCTCCTGCAATGCCGTCAAGTTCTACGCGGAGCTTCTCAACTTCGTCGACATTCCAGTGCTTGACCTGCACGGCAAGCAGAAGCAGCAGAAGCGAACCACCACCTTCTTCGAGTTCTGCAACGCTGAAAAGGGGATCCTCCTCTGTACCGATGTTGCTGCTCGAGGACTCGACATCCCAACGGTCACCCTTCCCCCAGCTCCCTCCCTTCCTCTCCCTCCTCCTCCTACTCCTCCTCTTCCTCCTCCTCCTCCTCCACTCTCTTCTCTCTTCTCTCTCACCGAATTCTTTCCTTTCCTTTTCCTTCACATTTTCCTCCACATGTCTGTCTCGTCTCAAACCTCCGGCAGGTGGACTGGGTCATCCAATTTGACCCCCCAGACGAGCCCAAGGAATACATCCACCGTGTCGGCAGAACAGCTAGAGGAATCAACACACAAGTACGTCCACCACCACCACCACCTCCTCCTCCTCCTCCTCCTCCTGCTCCTCTTCCTCCTCCTGCTCCTCCTGCTCCTGCTCCTCCTCCTGGTCCTCCTCCTCCTCCTCCTCCTCCTCCTTCTATTCCACCACCACCACCACATCATCATCAACAACAACAACAACAACAACAACAACAACAACAACAACAACAACATCTCCTGCTCGTCCTCCTTCTGCTGCTGGTCCTCCTCCCCCTCCTCCTCCTGTAAAGTTTTCCACAGGGAAGGGCTCTCTTGATGCTACTTCCTCAAGAGCTGCAATTTCTGAAATATCTTCGCCATGCAAATGTGAGTCGTCGATATGTTGTCTTGTGTTAGAAGTCAGACTTCCACTCTCAACTTTTCTACTCCCCCATATCCCTCTGATAACCTTCCTCTATCTTAACCTCCCTCCCTTCATCCCTTCTCCTCCCTCTCTTGGTTTCTGCTTTTCATACTTCGAATTCACATCTCTCTATGATGCTGGCCGCCTGTTTCCTTATCTCTTCACGCAGGTGCAACTGACGGAGTTTGAGTTTCCTCCCCACAAGATTGCAAACATCCAGCAGCAACTCGAGAGCTTGATCGCCAAGAACTACTACCTCAATCGCAGCGCCAAGGATGCCTACCGCTCCTACATCTTAGCCTACGCCTCTCACGGGTGAGCAACGGAGGGCCCGTGCAGGAGCTCACGAGTGCTCAGGCTCAAGAACATCTACGACGTGAAGTCGCTCGACATGCTCGCCGTCGCCAAGTCCTTCGGCTTCAGCAACCCGCCAAACGTGAGAGAGCAGAGAGCGAGAGAGCAACGTGACGTCTGCATGCAGGTCATGCTCAACTTCGGAGTCAAGCCATCCGATAGCGTGAGGAAGCGAGGAGGAGGGGGAGGATTTGGCACGGGATACAAGAAAGCCGTCACCAAGAAGAAGACAGGACATGGATTCAGCGCTGATAACCCTTACGGCATGAGACAACAGAATGACAAGCGACAGTTTGCAAAGTGAATAAAATGAAACTTGTAAGTGAAGATTCATGTAACACTAAAACACTTTCATACACTTTTATCGCTTTTATTCTCTCAAAACCTCACAAAAATAATATCGCATTAGAAAGGAGGCTGCGAAGTGCCCTGTTCCCTCCTGTTCTCCTGCTGCTGGGTGGTGTAGGTGTAGGCGGGGTTGGCAGTGTAAGATCCATAAGGGTAGGCGTAGGAGTATCCGTACTGCGGCACAGCAGGGGTAGCAGCGGTGACTCCAGTCTGGTAGGCGGTGGTTCCAGGGAGGTAGTAGGAGTTGGTGATGGTGGGCTGGTACTCAACCACCTTGTTCACCGTCTGGACCGTGTTAACAGTCTGGGTGACGGGGACCTGAACCTGAACGGGCTCCTGGACGGTCTGGTTGGTGTAGGTGGTGACGTTCTGGGTCTCGTAGTCGACCTTGGGGACCTGGTAGTTCTGGGTCTTGGTCTCGTAGACGGGAACGCGGTAGGGCACAGAGACGTCCTCGTAGACGGTCTTGGGGACCTTGTAGGTCTGGTAGCGAGTCTCGTAGACCTGCTTGGGGATCTGGATGGTCCTGGTCTCGTACTCAATCTTGGGGACCTGGTACGGCTGCTGGTAGGTCTCCATGACCTGAAACAACAACATACATCAGCGCCCATATCAAGGGGTGTGATGACGTCATAAATAGAGGTTGGCAAAGTTTTCTTCATAGATCATGTATAGAAACAATCATTCTGGACACAACACACAGCTATGCATCCAGGACAAGGAGAATTATCAAAAGAACAAGTTGCAAGACATTTGACTCACCGTCTTGGGAACGCGGACCTGGGAAACCTGAGGAACAGACACAACCTTGTTGACATAGGTGGTCTGGGGAACCATCACAGTCTGCTGAACAGGGACAGTGTAGGTCTCAGGGATGATGGCGCTCTGGGTGGGGAGGCCAGCAGTAATGCCAGGGGCAAGGGTCTGGGTTGGGTAGCCGTAGGAAGCGTAGGGCGTTGCCATGCTGCTGCGATGCTCTTCCGCTCCGCACGAGCCTCTCTTATACCCACGGGGCACAACACCCCCACCCCCAATCTGTCAGCCCACCCCTTGTTCCTCCGTTTTTTATTCGTACCCCCACCCTCCGAGCATAACGGTTCCACGGGAAGACCCGAAAGTACTTCTACACCCCTATTATCATTGAAGAAATAAGGGGTGGGCGATCATCTACTGAGCTAAAAGGACCCTCTCACCGTGAATACCCCTAAGGTAGCAGTACCATTATTAATTTACCCCTACAAAACTACCCTCGCCCCTCCTCTGCCCTCCTCTTTCCTACCAGGATCTTACGCCTCGACAACCTACCCCATCTCGAATGCCGAAGACACTACCCCATCTATTGTACACCCCATTTTTCTGGTACTGTGGAGTACCCTTCTACCCCCTGGTACTCCCTTGACAGTAAGGCTCTACCACCCCTTTCAATCAGCCGTTACCGTCTTGGTAATGATCCCCAATAACCCCCACCCCTATTTTCCTAATACGACTCATGGGTCCTCCTCTCCTCCATGATCCTGCGGATCTTCGTGTTCTCGAAGGACCCCACTACGACCCCTACAGGCATCCCTGGATTCACCACCCCCACCCCCTCTGACAATTCCAAGAGATGGTAACTTTCAGTGAGACGCACCGGTAATGACCAGACATTTACCGGCTACTAGAGGGGGACTACCCACCCCCTTTTCACGAATCATTTACCGCTAAATTCACACCCGTAGTGACGTCGGTTACCCGGGGGTAACAATCGTCCGTGTACCCCACCCTCTAATATGACGACGGTCCCTGGGTGGCGCCCCCTTCCCGTTTGGGGCACCGGGCAGTTACTAAGTCTGATGAGCGGGTGCAGGTTACTGACAGTGAAATCATTGTACTGACCCCCACCCCCATGAGATGACCGTCTGACCCCGTGGCCCTCCCTATGGGCAACCTCCTTCCAGTACGGCGCCGTACTTTTATCATTCGAGAAGTGGTCCCCTGCCACTCGCAAGGACCCATAGTATCTGGATACGGCTTGCCCTAAGAGTAGTACCCACCCCTCAGTCCCGTCCCCTGGTCAGAAGTTTCCCGCCGGGAGCTGCAAGTTGCCGCGAGTTGGTCAGAGGGGCTGAGAACAGCGCGGCGCCGGGGCCGGCTAGCCTGCACTGATTTGGGGGAAACTAGGGGAATAGTTCCATCGAAAGTTAAAGGCACCGGTACTTTACCCTACAATGATACCAGGACCCCTGGGCCTACTAGGCTCACATTCCCGGCCACTGGACTGAGGAGTCCCGCCGGCCCTACTGAGAGTCGCCTACTCCGTGTAAGTTACAGAACGGCAGCACCGGGTACCCCCCCCATCCGGGGCTCAGGCTGGGGCCCGGAATAGTTCCCTGGCAGCGAAAGTTAAAGGCACCGGTACTACCCTACAAAGATACCAGCACCGTGACCCCTCCTAGGCTAGGCCGCTAATTCCCCGCCCGGCGCCCCCCCCGCCCCCCCATCCTCTGGGGGTTCGTCGGCCCAGCCTCGGCTCCCGCAGGACTTCGGTACCGTGCCGGTTGTCGGCCCTCGGGAGCCGCTGGTGGCACGGCCGGGGGGAAACCTTATCATGCCGTCGCTGATCGGATGATTTACAGGCTGAACTCAAGTTTTTCCGCCGTGCCAGGCAGTCACGCCAGGAGGCACGATGGTCAGCAGTGACCGGGTTGAACTACCCCTCCGAGGCTCCGGGCGACCGTAGGCTGCCAGGCACCGCCGGGCCCGGCCGCCGGGCCGCGCACTGGCGCAGTGCACGCGGCTTGAAGAAGAGAGCCGACCCCCACTGAACTTCGGAACTGGAAAGCTTGTTTCCGGTCGCCGCGGCGGCGGACTCAGCCTCCGGGTGCGGCTGACGCCGGGCCTAGTGCTCAGCACGTCCCCCCAAAGGCCGCCTTTCAGGCTTCCCATCATCGCCCGGCCCGGCACTGCCATGATGGACTCTTGCCCGGACCGTACCGTACTCCGCGGCCGCCCGCCGATGCGTACGGTCACGTTGCGCTTTCTGTGCCCGGGCCACGCCGGTGACGGTGGCTGGCCGCGGATCCGCGCTCGGTATGCGTCTCATCATTCGGCGGCCGGGCCGGCCGGCCCGGCCACCGTCGGGACTCGGCTCGGACCTTCGGCGGCGGCCACAGCGCTATAGCGGCTCAGCGCCTGGCATGGCGCGGGGGATCTTCAAGTCTGAGTCTCGCCGTTCAACGTTTGGCCAGTGCTTGAGTAAAGGCCTGACGGTCCGACAGGGTACGGTCCCGGATCAACTTCCGCCGGGCCGGGCGCCGAGCACTCAGCCTCCGGCATCGGAGTCGCCGCACCAGGCCGGGCCGCATCCAAAGCTTGTAACGGATGCGTAACGGTTGTTGGCTCTTCGGCCATGGCTGGCGATTACGGCAGTGCAACGGGGGAGGCGATGCATCGATCGCAAGAGAGGGGGGAAGAAAGCCGCCATGCTTGGTCGCGTGAGCTCTCCTCTCCCTCATCCACCTGCCTCTACAGTCGTGAAGGTCGTTATCTTCTGTTGGTGACCAACCTGGTGCTCGTCGCCGCTGTGCTACTGTCCGTTCCAGCTGTCAGCAGATCCATGTTGGCCTCATCACCCGCTGCCGTTGACGTCTCGCAGTTGGAGCAAGAGGCGAGCAAGGGCCTCCCGGAGGATCTTGCAAGGACACAAGAGCTGAGTGAGATTGCAGAGGGCGGAGGGGGCAGAGGCAGGGTGCAGGAACTGTATGAAACGCCTACGATACATGTAGGAGGTCAAGGTTTCATTTCTAGCGTCGCCCCCGCGCATGGATGCGGTCCATCAGGATGTACCTCCATGTTTTCTTCTTCAGCTCCCTACACCCATGGCGTCGATCCCTACCCGGCCTCGGCTGCTCGTGCTGCTGTGGACCAGGAGTTGCCAGCAATCCGAGAGCTGATTCGCAAGGCTTCTGATGACGAGAGCTACAGCGTCGAAGAGGAAGAGAAAGAGATCGATACAGTTGCAAGCGCTTCCCGTGCAGTGGATAGACAGGTTCGACTAGCAGGCTTGTCAGTCGCTCTGTTCTTGATCTCCATTTTTCTAGATCTCCTCGTTCGACGACGACATGCATGATGCAGCGAAGCGAACGAGAGAGCTTGTACCTGACTGACATATTACCGTTCCACCGTTGAATCCCTCCCGACAGGTGCACGAGCTCGAGAGGGTGAGGAGCATTGGATTGACCGCAGGACCCCCTGGACGGAGAGGCCCCCCTGGTCCACGAGGACAGCCAGGCCCTCAGGGGGTAGGGATACCAGGACCACAAGGAGCGATCGGTAGCGCTGACCTTCTACTCGAGTCGAAGATCTTGTAAGCTGCTCCATGCAGGGAACCCCGGGCTTGAGGGGCCACCAGGCCCTGACGGACCAGAAGGGCTGCAAGGAGCAGGTTGCGCGAGAGGCGTCGCCTCGAAATCAGCTGAGCTGTGTGTAGATGGCCTCGTTGGACTCCCAGGACGGACTGGACCACGTGGCAGGAGGGGACGAGCGGGTCTGCCCGGGCGAATGGGCAAGAGAGGACCTCCTGGCAAGCCTGGTTATCCTGGGCCGCAAGGATTGATGGTGTGTTGTCACCTCGCGAACATCTGTTGTAGCTCATCAGTGAGCAGGGCCCTGCTGGTGTCCCTGGACTGAACGGCAAGCATGGGCCCATGGGACTTCCTGGTGCTCCCGGCACGCCAGGGCAGGTGAGAGCTGATCCTCCGCCGGGTCGGTTGCGCTCTGATGCCCCCCGACTCACTCCTCGTGTTAGTCCGGTCCGGTGGGCCCGCGGGGATTCGCCGGCCCTCCAGGCGTCCAAGGGCCCGTGGGCTTGCCTGGTCAGACTCGCTGCCATGGATTCTGAAACTGATTTTGGTTGAAGGCGCCATCGGACCTGCTGGCATCCCTGGAGTGTGGGGGAGACCTGGGGAGCAGGGAACTGACGGACAAGAAGGGAACGCCGGTAGAGGAGGCCTTGGAGCAAGGAGATGGGCTAACAACATTGAGCAGGTGCCCCTGGACCTGCAGGATTGTCTGGCAAAGGAGGGCAACGTATGCCTTGAGTTCTTCTTAGAGTCTCGCTGACGAACGAATTTCTTGCTGCTCAGCTGGAGTGCCTGGAGTCCCGGGCATGATGGGAGCAATGGGTCCAGCTGGAAACGACGGTGTCAAAGGTGGCCAACAGCAGCAGCATTCCTTGCATGGCCTTTCTCATGTTCTGCCCACCTCTCAGGTGCGAAGGGCCCTCAGGGTCTTGGACTAGTTGGAGCCACAGGATCGCCGGGTGTCGCCGGAGTCCCCGGCCGACAAGGAGTGCCCGGCGTACCGGGCAGGAACGGAGTTATGGGAGTGCCTGGAGTGCCGGGCTCTAACGGTAGGAACTTGGCAAGGTGGAGGGTGAGTGGTCGCCTGACCAGCTGTAGGTATCAACGGATCGCCCGGAGCTGCCGGAGCGCCTGGAGTACCTGGAAGGAACGGACACTCAGCAGGCTGTAACTATGCTTGCTTGCGTCGCTATGGGCACTGCCACTGCTAGAGCAGAGAGCGACTTGATGTATCATAAGCGTCTAGAGGCGGGGGAGAATGAACAGGATCAGAAACTCGACCATTCATCGTTGAGTGAGGTTTTCTTAACATAAGAGACGAAGGGGAAGTGTTGAAGCCTGAACATGAAGGGCCGGGAAGAAGAGTAGAGATAGATGAAGGTATCAGAGAGAGAGATAGATGAAGGTATCAGAGAGAGAGATAGATGAAGGTATCAGAGATTAGAGATAGACAGGTTTGCAGGGGGTCACGGAACGAGGGAGGGAGGGTTACTTCTTAATCGATGGCTTGCTCAAGTCATGACGGTACGGAATGATCTTGTCGCTGTTGATCGGGGTGAGTCTGTTCCGATCAACAGCAACCCTTCTTTGAGCAAGGGGCTCGGGGAGGGCGAGGACGTGCTGCCAGGCAAGTCAGTTGGGCTCAGAGCATGACGGCAGACTCACCTCCTCAGGAGAAGACAAGATCTCCTCGATCTCCTCGCTCTTGTGCGCCAACAGCCCTTGGGTCTCGCTGGGGTTCTCCGGGCTCTCCTCAGATTCGTACTCCCTCTCGCTGCCTACTGGGGTCCCTTGCAGCTCCTCGGGCCTCTGGTCCTTGTCGCTGCTGCTGTCGGCGAAGGGCCAGAGAGAGACGTCGAGCTTCGTCGCTTTCCTGCTGCCGTCCTTGAGAGGTGAAACCTCGCTCGCCCTCCCCTTGGCCCTGCTCGACGAGGCCGGCCTGTTCTCACTCTGCCCGAAGTTCTTGCGCGTCGCAGGAGAGCGGGATGGAGAGCGGAACCTATTCGATCCTCTCCCGCCCTCCAGGTTGCTCTCCACCCCTGCAGCCTCAACCGTTTGCGGCCTTTGGCTTGCACTCTGCGACTCAGGTCGGTTCCTGGTGGGCGTTCGGTTTGTCCGAGCAGCGTTGGAGCTCGTTAGGTTCATCATGGAGCTCGCGTCCTGGGACCGCAGCATGTCTGAGGCGGGCGAGGGCCTCCGCTGGTTTGCGCGGAGCTTGGGAGGACGGGAGAACTGCCCTACGTACCTCACCTGCCTCTGGTCTGTCAGAAAGTCCTCGATCTGTCTCAAGGCATCTAGGATCTTGTCCCAGGACGGCCGTTTGTTGGGGACGCTATCCCAGCAGCTCTTGATGAGATTCTTGAGCTGCTTGGGGATGTTGTCGGGCAAGGACGGTCTTTGTCCCTGATAGACCGTCGCGAATGCGATCTGCATCTGGTTGAGCCCCGCGTAAGGCTTCTCTCCCGTCACCATCTCGCTCAGCACAACCCCGTAAGAGTACATGTCCACCTTTTCCGTGTACTTGTCCTGCTTGTAGATCTCTGGAGCAGACCAACCGGGAGTGCCGAGCATGCCGCTGATCTTGGTGACGCTTTCATCCTTGATCCGAGAGAGCCCGAAGTCAGAGATCTTGCAAACCTTCAAGGAGTCCACGAGGAGATTGCTGCTCTTGAGGTCCCTGTGGATGATCATCGGCCTCAACGAGTGAAGGTACTTCACCCCCTTTGCCACGTCTCGTGCAAACCCAAGGACTTGTTCCATCTTGAGCTTCAGATTCTGCTTGTAGAGGAGGTCCGACATGGAGCATTCCAGCAATTCGGTCAGGACGCACAAGTCGGGCGACTGCAGCGACGCTCCCATATAGCGAACGATGTTGCGATGGCGCAGGTTGCTCAGCAGCTGAACTTCCTTTCGGAACTCATCAGCATGCTTGTCTCCACCATCCGCGTATTGAATCTTGAGCTTCTTGACAGCAACCGACATGCCCTTCCAAGTCCCCTTGTGAACCACACTGAACCCTCCTTCCCCTATCACCTCCCCGAGCTCGATGTCCGAGAACTCGATGTTGGAGTTGTTGTCATAGCTGACGATGTCTATGAATGAGATTTCGCTCCAGGCTGACTCGCCCATGGCATTGACAGCTTTCAGCCGCAGCAGCATCCTCTTGTTGCTCGACAGCCCTTCCACGTTGCACATCAAGTCCGGCCCCCTGTAGACTTCCACAGAACTGCCGAAGGAGTTGGAGCTAGAAGAACGTGTCACTGGGGCACAGGTATCGACCACAGCACAGCTCACCTTGACTTGAGGTCCGTCTCTGACATCTCTAGCACGTACTCCTCCACAGGCAGGCCGTTGCCATCCGCCGCTTCCCATTCCGCACAGATATGGCCAGCATGCGCGCTAGAGAGCTCCAGCGAGCCCCGAATGGCGGGAGGGCCACACTCAGGAACGTAGCTCAGCTCGTCACTCCACTCTCCCGGCCCTGCTTACCTCGTCAAACAGACAAGTCAACGTCAAACCTCCTGACCTGCTTCATTCACGGCTCGCACACGGAACCTGTACTCCATGCCCACGTTGATATCCCCAATCGTGCAGATTCTTGTTGAGGGATCGGAAACCACAAACTCTTGATGCTGCATCCTCCCTTCACTCGTGGAGCTGCCGTCTCCCATGTACATCCCCGACGCCTGATCGAGCGCACCGCTTCCCACATCGGGCCCAGGAGGTGGCCTCTTGATGGAGGCGAGCATGGGGGACGTTCCTTGGAAAGGAGAGGTGCTCCTTCCTTTCAGGCCTCGAGACTCGTCGAAGAGAGATCGTTTACAGCCCACCGAGTTGACAGCAGCACCTTCTCCATTGGTGCCCGGCTGCATGTTATCGTCACGGTTGCTAGCATCTTCTACAGGAGAAACTTTCATTTGCACAATGTAAGATCTGATTTTGCTCCCCCTGTCGTCAGGATATTGCCAAGACAAGTCGACCGAAGTCGCAAGGCAGTTCAACAGACTCGGCAGAGGAGGAGCACCTGGAGCAAGGGCCGTAATCATGAAAACCCGTTCCTCACCCCATGGCCCGATCCCGACGGAGTTCCTCGCGCACACCCGGAACCTGTACGTGCCTCCAATGCTCTGAAAGGTGACGATGCACGAGTTCTCTGGGCCATCATACACCTCTCTCCACGTCTCGTCCGACACTGAGTTGGAGATGTTGAGGGACCCTACCGCCCTCTGACTTGATTTCTCCACAGACACCTCCGCAGCTTGCACAAGGTAACCCTCAACCACCGAGCCGTTGTCCACGGCTTCGTCCCACCTCAGCTCCACCTCACCCGGGCCCCTGCACCGCAAACATGATCAGATCACATCGTCAGTCAGGTTCGGAGGTACCTCAAGTCGATCCTCAGCCCAGTACAAGGATCAGGAGCCGTCACAGGGGTGACAAACATGGTGCCGGGGCTCCAGTTTGTGAATATCCAGGATTCGGGATTCTTGGGAGACGTCGAAGTGTTGGAGGCCTGGAGAGAAAACTTCGCTCGTACCTTGAAGGTGAAGGAACAGCCGGGTGAGAGGCCGGACACAGCACAGCACAAGGCCTTCCCCTCATAGACAATGCTCTGATCCCTCGTGTGTGTCTTTCGTCTTTCCATCTCCACCACATAGGTGACATGATGGTCGAGGATGCCTTCTGCCTTCTGAAACTCGGACACGGACACCTGCTCCCAAGTGATCTGAACTTGATTCGGGTGCAAGTACATCAGTTCGGGAGCTTTCAGGTTCACATTCTTGAGGTTCTCTATGGCCGCATCGCCTTCATTCTCACTCTGAAAGTTCGCCTGGTTGCTCTCGTTCTCAGGGTTCTGGTTCATCTTGTCAACTCCCTCGCAGCACAACTCCAAATCAGTCTGTGAAGACTGCGGCGACAGAGACGCCATAGACAAGAGCACCGCGTCAGTTTGGCAGTTGGGGTTGCAAAACTGAGAGAACAAAACAACGGCGCTCCAATCACTCCACGGGCTGCAGCCCATCTTGTTGCTGGCCTGAACCCTGAACCTTGCATGAACTTTGTCGAAATCCCCACAGGACTTCAAGTCCTGAACTTGCAACTTGTACTGGTTGCTGCTGCCGTGGTAAACGATCCTGGTGTTGCTGTGATTTATGGCAGATGTGTGTAAGATGTGATCTTTCCCTAGATTGTCTTCATCTGTTTCAATCAGAAGCATTTGCACATCATAATTCTCAATTTCCATTCCACCATCCGTCCCAGAGTTCCAAGAAATCATAACCGTTGACTCTTTCGAGTTTGCCTCTGCACTTGGCGGATCTGGACGAGGAGGAACTGTAGCATGAGAAACGAAACTGACCAGGTTACTCCAGTTTCTCTCTTTGCCGTGTTCATCGATGACAGCAACACGGAGACAGAGCGAGCATCCTGGTTTCACATCAATGTCGAAGCTCGAAGACTCTCCTCTGTATATTTCACTGAATCCCTCATTCACGTCCTTCTCCATCTCCAGACAATAGATCTCATGACGAGCAGGAGCGTCCGCATGCGACCTCTCCTTGCCGTTGGTTTTGCTCGGTGAGCTCCACATTGCACGGGCATGGCAGGGCCCCAGCGTTTGAACTCGAAGATACGGGGCGGCCTTGGCTTTGACAAGTTTGGGAGAGGAATAGCTTCTTGTGATGTCTGCATTTGTTTCTGCGACATGAGCGCTCGTCGATGCCCCGCAACCCATTCCTTCAACCTCGGGCAAGTATATGCAAGCGAGTTGAAGCTATTTCATCTTGTGAGCATAATCATTTGAGCTGCTTGTCAACGAGCCATCCTTTCTATCTCCAATCTGACATATATCATGCTCTACATGCTGCTTGTTGCGCCTGCGTTTAGGTCGGTCGGTCAACCACAGTACGATGTAAGCTCAATGGACGATGTGTCTCCCTATAATCAAAACTGAATGATCCACCAAACTTGTACCCGCCAACCCCGACAAATGCCGATGATCAGCTCCTCTTACTTTTGCTGTCCTCTGCTTGCGTCTATCTCTTCTCTCCTCCCCTCCTTGACTAAGACCTCCTGTCTTGCTTCGGCTTTACCATGCTCAACCCAACGCAAGTTGGCATTTCAACCCGCTCGAAAAACCCCGACCCCAAAAATACTCTACCCCACCCTCATCATTTCCAGGATATACCCTACCCCACCCCTTGACAGTCCTACAGCAGCAATCACTACTACCTCCTCCAAGACCATTTGAACCTCCTCTATACCACCGGTTAACATCCTCGTGTCCCTATAACCCCACCCATTTCCATCGCTTTGACCCCCTTTGAGCCCACTACGACCTTTCCATCCCCACACCCTCCTACGAGTACCCACCCCCATCTCGTCACGACTTCCAAAGATCTTTTCATAACCCCCCACCAGTTAATTTACACTACCCACCCACCCCCAATAATGAACTCGCTAAACCCTTTGTAAAACAGGACTCCCCATGTTGAAACTGTCCCCCTATCCCCCATACCCACCCCCACCCCCACCCCCCCACCACCCGAATAATTTCACTACCCCTGGGACAACGATCCTTGGAAAGGCCTGATGAGCCTCGGAGAGCCAGTGAGCGGCCCGGCCGGCCGCGGGGCCGGTGGCCCAGTTTGGGTTGGCCCGGGCCGGGCGGCCCGAGGACTCCGACTCAGGCTCTGAGCCGGCGGGCGGGCGGCCCTTCCGAAGTTCGTTGCCCTGGCCCACTGTTAGTATCGCGGCGGGTGCTTTCGGGCCAGTATGCCGGCGGCGTCTCCGAAGTTTGAACTGGGCTTCGGCCACATCATGTGCTGCGCCCGGTTGGCCCACTGGCATGGCGCCGGGCCGCGGGCGCGGCCCGGCCCGGCGGGCCTGCTCACGCCACTGGGCCTCCCGAGTCACTGTAGAGTCACTGCCGTATCCGATCTCTCAGGCCCTTGAGTCGCAGTGCGGCGACAGGGTCCCGGCCCGATACTGTCATTTTTGACGGACTCTTAACAGGCTTTGCCAGGTAAGAACTGAGACCATTCCATGCGCCCGGGGCCGGTGCCGGGGCTTCTTTCAGGCTCAAGTAAATCAGTCCGATCACTACCCTGACCCTAGTCACGGTACGGTACGTACGGTATCAGGCAAGTTTCTACTCCGTAGGTCACTGTGGGCCCCCCGGACCGTACGGTACCGTGGCAGCAGTTCAGTGGCCGCAGGACAGGCTCCGGGGAGGCCCGGGGCCGCCCGGGACTTCCCGGAAGTCCGTGACTGCTCGAGTCCCGAAGTTTTCTCTTCTCGCCGTTAGGTTTGGCCTGTGCGACAGCCTGAAAGCCTCCTCGACTCTCCTGATTGTCCTCGTACTGATTTTTAACCATCTGAGTACCGTACTGATCAAGCCTCCGCTCATTGGAATTGAACTTTCAAGATGATCATATAGAGGGCCGGGCGGGCCTGTGTGGGGAAGTGGACCGCACGGCTCAGACCTTCGCTTCGCGATGTGCTAAATCGGGCAGTAGTGCCGTATGACTATTCCTTTCCGATGGGGGGTAGGTCAACATATACTTTTAATAAAGGATTGAAAGTTTCATCTTACTTTTCATAGCTATTTGAAAATATAACAGTAAATAGATCAGCCTTTGGTTGAAATTTCTGCCTGTGTCTGCTTGCCGCGAAACTCCTCAGTCACACCGCAATGCAAGCAGGGGAGGAAAGGGGATGGCGATCGAGCGCCCTGCTGATGGTGTCAGCATGTCTGGCCGTCATGGCACTTGCTTACAGCATGGTAAGGATTATGGATTTCGATTGTTGATGTTGTTGTTGTTGTTGTGGTGGTGGTAGTGGTAGTGGTAGCGATGAGGAAGACGGATCATGAGGGTGATTTGAGGAGTAGTAGTGGTAGTGGCACTTGGAGGAGGAGGAGGAGGAGGAGGAGGAATGAGAATTGAAGAAGATGTCAGTGGAGTACAAGGTTGAATCATGTGGATGAGGATGGGAATGTTGGTGTTGGTGTTGGTGTTGGTGCTGATACGAATGATTTTTGGATGATTTGGTTATGATATCGACCGTGAAGACATATATGATATTGATGATAGTCAAAGTACCTGTGCTTTACACAATTATTCTAATCTTGCCTCTATCTGTACAGAAAGGATTCACTTCTGCAGATTCGCTCCTCCAGACATTCCAGTATCCGACTGCTGTTGCTCAAGCCTCTCTCGCGCAAGCTAGCAGCTATCCTGTACAAGGGCAACCGATCTTGGCACAGCCTGTGATGGCTCAGGTATGCCCTTGATCTTGCAGGGTTACTCGCAGTTTGATGCTTGATGTGTTAGGCGATTCCCTACAACAACTATGCAAGAGCCATCCCTCAGCGTACGCCATGGTTGTTGACTTGATCTTGGCTAACTTTTTCACAGTTCGCGCTGCTCAGCAGATTCTGCAGGCGGTGAGGATAGATCTCACTGCATAGACGTGTGGTCTTACTTTGATGTTCAATCAGGCGAACGCCTCAGCAATAGCCCCAGCAGCAGCAGCAGGTGGGGGAAATCCTCTTGCCAACGCCATGGCTGCAGGAGGGAGCGCAGCAGCTGGGTCAGGGATTCAGACTCCTCCAGCAACGCCTCCGCCCATATGCCCCGTGGGTGAGATGCAGTGCAAGGTGAGAAGAAGCTGCTTCTATGCCAGAAGTTGCTGACGTCGGTTGTCATAGAACGTCAAGTGCATGGGCGACATTGGCTGCATCAACGAGTTGCCCGATGGCTCGTTGAGGTGCGATTGCCCTCCTCCCCCTCCCCCTCCCCCTCCTCCCGTCTTGGGCAGCAAGGAGTGGCTGGGACAGCAGAATAACCAGATGGAGGACGTGGGTGAGGCAGCCGGAGCAGCCGGAGCAAACTTGGCCATGTACGAGTCAGGCCCTGTGGCAGTTGCGTTGGCGAACTACTTGAAACAAGAAGGAAAGTTGGCTGAGACGTCGGCCAAGATGCATGAGCTCCTCCTCAAGGACTTGGAGGCCGTCCAGGAGCAAGAGTCCTCCACCACCACCTCCTCTTCGTCCTCCACATCATCAGGCTCCGGAGCAGGAGGTGCGCCGGCAACGTCTTGGCTACCTGATAATATCTTTGGCATCAAGTTGGGGTAGGCAACAAGACTGAAGTGCTGTAGTTTGAAGACATTTACAATACAACATAGTTTACAAGGCGCATGTGTTGGCAAGAAAATCTTGAGTTGCTTCTTCCATAACCTGCATATGGAGTGAGGGCGAGGGGAAAGATTGAGCGGAGGGACCTGATGGAACCGAAGAGCCTTCGAGAACAAACCGAACAGAAAGCTTGTTCTGATCCTGTCCTCTCCGTCTCCTTCCTTCACATCGCTGGGCTCGTCCTTGTCTTCCTCAACTTGAGTCGCCGCACACGCCTTGCTGTCTTCCTGCAAGTCTGCAGGGAGCGGGAAGGAGGAAGGGAGGGTCCCGTTTGCCTCGGGGATGTGATACTTGATCTCCCCGTTGGGGTCGAAGCGGATGGAAGGAAGAGAGGCGCTGCTCATAAAGTCGACAACCTCCTTGCACAGGGAGCGAGCAGGCAGCGTCTGCTCGAGGAAGCCCAGGAGCTCTTCTCGTCGGCCTCGGTCCATGCTCTCATACCTGCCTCCTGCATGAGACATGCACGATGGGGACGGGGGGAGAGAGGAGGAGGACGAGGAGGAGGACGAGGAGGAGTAGAAGGAGGAGGAGTAGAACGAAGTAGGAAGAGTAGGAGAACAATGAGGAGGACAAGGCGGAGGACAAGGAGGAGGACAAGGAGGAGGACGAGGAGGACAAGCAGCTACCGGTTGATCACGATCACGTTCTTTTCACCCAGGAGCTCTTCATTGTCATCCCACAGGTAGGACTGCAGCACCTTGAGCGCCTCCCTTCCTCCCCCCTGCCGCTCACCTTGTCCGGGTCCAGCCCGAGAGCTCTGGCGGTGGGGAGAAGCTTCTTGGGTGCCGCAGTGACGACGACGGGAGGAGGATGTTCAAGGCCGAGAGCCTCCTTGATGGCATCGCGAGCAGCAAGCAGCCTTTCCAAGCTCATAAAGATGTCGAGGCGTTCCTGCTCCCTCCTCAGCCTCTTCTCCCTCCTACGGCTTCCTCTGCCTCCTCCTCATCTCACCTTAGCCATGAGCCGAATCTTGCCGGAGAAAGTCGCCATGATTTCATGCGCGTGGTTGAGCTTGGAAGGAAAGACAACTTGGGTGTCACTGCCGCAGCTTCAGCGTCGCTTCCCTTCCCTCCACTTGTAAAACCTGTGATGCCAAGCTGGGTTCCAGCTGAGCTTGATGTGCTTGTCTCTCAAGAAGGAGATGTAGCGGAGCAGGTGAGCTCTACGGGTGTACAGGACGACCTGAGGTGAGAAATTCCTGCCCACCTGCCAAGACACGTCACGTGCTGGGGGAGATCAGAGCACTCACTGACCAGCTCGCGGTAAAGTTTGATACAGCTGGGGTTGATCAGCAGAGAGTAAAGCTTGTTCCTGCATGTGCAATGAGACCCGGCGAGGGATGAAGAGAGGGAGGAGAAGCAGCAGGAGGAGAAGCTTACAAGTGCTGCGGGGTGACTTTCATGAGCTGGAAAGCGACGGCCAGGTCGTTGCCGTCCTGGAGAAGAAGAGGTGAACATGAGGAAGGAGTTGGAGAGAAGAGCTAACCTGACCGAAGATGGCGCTATGATCAAGGTCAAGAAACAGCGTGACATTTTGTCTGATCCCGTCCTCCCCTCCCTCAACTCCTACATCCCCATCTTCCTCCCCGGGGCACGGACCAGCCTCCACTCCTCCCTCCGTCTCTCCCGTCGATCGGTTCTTCTGCCCCGGCGTGTCCTCTGCTCCATCCGCCGTCCTGCAGCTCCTTGCATCGCCCTCAGAGGTGTTGAGAGGTGACAGCAGTTTGACATCAGTGCCGTTGGTGCTTGACACGTTGTCTTCCTTCTCGCGCAGAGTCGGTGGGCTGCTTGCCAACAGCCCTCGGAAGAAGGAGGAGAAGCCGGAGGTTGTGTTCACCAGATTGCCGACGACTGAGTACAGTGACAAGTTGAGGTTCTGACTCTTAACGTCCTCGCCTCCTAGATACTTCGAGCTCGATTCTGCCTCAACCCTCTCCCTCCTCCCCTCTTCCTCCATCGCCTTCGTTTCCCGCCCTTGTGATCCCTTCTTGTCCGCCTGCTTCATCCCTGCCTTGACCTCTGCCTCCTCCCTCCCCGTCACTCTTGTCGTCATGTGTTGTTCCGCCTCTCTAGTTGCAGGGGATCCAAGGAGGCTGTTAGCCGACTCGCTCTGCTCCTTTCGCAGCCTCGCTTGCCCCAGCTCCTCCTGCTGCTTCATCGCATCCTTCCTCGTTTCTTCCTTGACATGCTCCCCTTCGGACTTGTCTTGCTTCATCTTCATCTCCTTCCTCTCCACCTCTGCCTCTTTTGCTGCCATCGTCTCCTCTTTTTCCCTCTTCTCCCTCCTCCCCTCTTCCTCCATCGCCTTCGTTTCCCGCCCCGTTGCCCCCTTCTTCTCCACCTCCTCCATCGCCTTCATCCCAGACTTGACCTCTGCCTCCTCCCTCCCCGTCACGCTTGTCGTCATGTGTTGTTCCCCCTCTCTAGTTGCAGGGGATCCAAGGAGGCTGTTAGCCGACTCGCTCTGCTCCTCTTGCTGCTTCATCGCTTCCCTCCGAACGATCTCGCTCTCCTCCTTGAGGCTCTTCAAGTCTTCCGCCTGCTTGTCTCCTGGTGAAGCTACAGCTCCTTCCCTCTGACTCGCTCTCACCAGACCTCTTTCAGTCTCGCGGGAGTTTTCAGAGGCTCTGCTGCTCTCGACTCGCACAAGCTCCTGCTCCACAGTCTGCTGGCCTTGTCCTTGAAGGAGATCTTGTTGTTGTTGCTGCTGCTGCTGCTGCTGCTGTTGCTGCTGCTGTTGCTGCTCACTGTGCTGCTGCTGCTGCTGCTGTTGCTGCTGCTGCTGCTCACTGTGCTGCTGCTGCTGCTGCTGTTGCTGCTGCTGCTGCTCACTGTGCTGCTGCTGCTCCATCTGTTTCAGCTCCTCTGCTGAGGATTGAGCTCCAAGACCAGACGAGGATTGATCTTGCTGCTCTTTCAATCTCACATCCTCCTCCTTGACTCCCGTCAAATTATCTTTTCTCCCTCCCCAGGGCCACTCGTAAGTGGGGAGGAGGGAGAAGGCAGGAGGGCGCTTGAGCTGCTGCCTGCGCGACTGACCTTGGGGGTGAGAGGAGGAGGCGCGAGAACGGAGAAGAAGCGAACGAGCAGGGAGACGAGAGAGCGGGAAGAGCGAGAAGGAGAAGAAACTCCTCTTGCTCTCTTGAGCATCCTCCGCCTCTACTTTCTCTTCCTCCTCTCCTTTCTCCCTCAGCTCACCCGTCCTGCCTTCCACATGTGTTCCCTTCCTTTCCACAACATCCTTCATCGCTTGCTCCTCGCTCCCTCTCCTCTCCTCCACAGTCTCTGCTTGTCTTTGTTTGCCTGCAATCTTCGTGTCTTCCACACTCTCCCTAGTCCTACCCTCTTTGCCTCCCTCCCCCTCCTCTTCCTCCTCCTTCACCATCGCCATCTCCTCCCCTCTTTCTCCCCTCCTGCCCTCCCTTGCCTGCTGCCCCTCCATTCCCCTTGGCTTCTCCTTCTCGACTCCCGTGTTGTCCTCCTTCCTGCCGTTCTTCTCCTTCAACACGACAGGCTCCGTACATCTCGCCTTCCCCTCCTGTTCGAGCGATCAGTTGCAACAAGGCATGGAAAAAGTTACCTGGGGAGGAATCCTTATTCTTGCATCCTTCACCTCCTCCTCCTTTATCAGCATCTTGCTATGTGCGCTTCTTTCCCCTCCATCCTTCCTCTCCCCCAGCTCCTCCGTTACAGCGTCCCTTCTTCCCATCCTCTCCTCCACTCCCGCCTCCTCCATTCGCCGCAGCATCTCCACGGCAGCTTCTCCAACCTCTCTCTCCCTCTCTCCTTGCTTCTGGACCTCCATCGCCCTTCCCAGCGTCATCTCTTTGAGAGGTCGGAGCACCTGACTCCGCTGCAGGGAGGAGGAAGACAGTTGGCGAGCAGGGGAGGGGCAGGGGCTCGCGTGGACGAAGGGGATCGAGACTTTGTACTCGCGGAAGAAGGAGCTCTGCCTCCTGATGAGCTGCTCCCCTCCCTCCCCTCTCCAGCTGCCCTTCTCCTCCTCCACCTCCTGCCTCCTTGCTTTAATCTCTCCGTGTTCCCCTGCCCTGCCTCCGGTCTCTTGTTCCCTGCTGGCTTCAAACCTTTCACAACCCACCGCACTGTACCTGCCAGCCTCGCACTCCTCCTCTTCCTCCTCCTCCTTGCCCGGGTCCTCATCCTCGTCCCCCTCTCGCCTGCGCCTCTCAAAGTCTTTCAGTTCCTCCTGGTCTGCCTCCAGTTGCTTCGCAACAGGGACCAACAGCTCTGAGGTCTTTCCTCCTGCAAGCTCCTCCGCCTCTTCCCTCCCACTGCACAAGTTCTCCTCCTCCTCCTCATCGTCATCATCAGCTTCCCACAGCGAAAGTTTCCTTCCCTCCGCAGTCCACTTCCTCCCTTGTGTTTCCAGGCTGATCCCACCCCCTGCTGCTGCTGCTGCTGCTGCTGCAACCGTCGATTCCCCACCATCAATCAACCAGCGGACCAGCTTCTCTCGAATTTTTTCCTTGCTCTTGGCCTTTTCCTCCTCCGCTCGAAATCCTTTAACCCTGTCGGCAAACAAGATGGACTTGGAGCTGTTATCCTCCGCCTCCCCTCCCCTCCCCTCCCCTCCCCTCCCCTCCTCGTTCCCTTCCCTCGACTTCGTCTCCGAGCCATGTTCCTCCGGCTCGCTCCTCCGCTCCTCTCCTTCATCATGCATCAATTCTCTCACTTGGATCGTCGTTCCCAGACAAGCCTCCTCCTCCTCCACCACCTGCTGCACCTGCTGCACCTGCTGCTGCTGCTGCTGCACCTCCTCCTCCTCCTCCTCCTCCTCCTCCTCCTCCTCTAGATCATATCCTTCCAGCACTTGATCATTTCCTCCAGCATTTTCTTTTGCCTCCCTCGTCGCCTCCTGTTCTCTCCCTTTCACCTCTTGCAAACTCGCAGATCCCTTTGCTGCGCTCCTGTGAGCTGCTACCCTTCCGTCATAACTTACAGCTCCAGCTCCAGCTCCAGCTCCAACTCCATCTTCCATCTTTTCTGAGTTTGGCGCGCCAGGAAGAGGAGCAGAGGGCAGGCCCAGTTGTTCTTCGAGCAGCAGTGCGTTGTCGATGAGCCGGCACCAGGACTCATAGAGCTGTTGGAACTCCTTCCTTGACGCGTGCAGCCTCGACATCTCTTGCGATGAACCTCTCAGAACTTCATCGCCATCCCCCGCAACCTCCGCTTGGCGGCAGCGGACCTCTGAATCAGCAGGGCACATTGAGCCTGAAACGTCGTCCCCTCCATCCTCCTGGTCCTCAGGGCCACAGGGTGACACCGGTGCTGCCTGCTCGTGGCAGAAGTTGTTTTCCGATGGCTGAACCACAGAAGACTCGACCTGTCCTCTACATGTCCCCGTTGTCCTCGCACAAGCCTCAACAACCCCCTGAGGCTCCTCCTCTCTCAACAACATAACAGCCTCTGCTGTATGTTGTGTCAGGTTCAAACCCAGCTTACCGAACATGTCCTCGTAGAATCTTGTCTCGTCGTCTTGTAGCCTCAGAAGCAAGCTGTCTGTTGTCTCCTTCGCTCTCTGGTGACTCTCGATCACCTCCTCCAACTCATCATGTAGCCCTGCATGCCTCCTGGAGGACACAGCGCTTCGGGTAGTGACGCGCCCCTCCTGCTTGTCTACAAAGCTGAAACTTGCGACTTGAGTGGCATCATGGTCTTCCTTCTGGATCTTCAAGCTGTACCTCAACAACTTCAACGACTGCGGGATCTTCATTTCGTCCAGATCCCTCAGGTATTGTTTCGTTGCTGTCAGATCAGGCGAACTTGGAGTGGCGAAGACAGTCAGGAGGAGGAGACAAAACAAGGTCGTCGAGAACCGCCATGAAGACCAAGAGAGAGCGCATGCTTTACCCTTCGCATCGCTACCTCGGCTCATGTTGCCGCGAGATGCACCCAAGTCGCCTGATAGCACGCCGATCCGATCCAAACTGCTCGCGATTGACGATGAGAAGAACGATGGAGGTGGTAAGAAGAGAAAGCAGAACGGTCAGAAAAGATGCATCTGAGAGGTTCAACAGGAAGCTAGAACCCACGATCCGTTGCCAGTATGCGCAATTATGGGGCGGGTTCGGGTCTGATCCCTGAGCTGTGAACAAGAAGCGAATCACTCGAACATCTGTAACAGCTGTCTGATGATGTTCCAATCACTTGGTCTTGTTCCTCTCCTCATTCCGCCTCCTCCGCCTCCTCTTCCTCCTCGTTTCTTCTCCCATGCAAGGTACCAACATAGCGCATGGCGACGATGAGGCCTGTTATAAAGAAAGAAAATCTGAAATCTTTTTATAAAATTTGAAAATTACAACCAACTTTTCTGTAATATCCCTTGGTTTCAACATTGTAGCCAAACAACCATGCAGACTGGATTGTCGAAATATTTTTATCAAAATTTCAATATTGCCTATAATATTTCAAAGGTAATCCAAGAATAACAAAGGTGTCGCCGAATCCTGACCAGGCCATCCTCAGAGCTTTGGGGGCCACCGGCGGCCCGGGCCGGGCCCGCCTGGCGCGGCAAGCGAAGTGCTCCGAGGCTGCCGCCGAGTCACTGGCAAGCCAGCTGTGCTGACTCCCGCCGGCATGATAAGCCGACAGGCCTGGCTCGGTTCCAAAGTGGCCGGTTGAACTGAGGAAGCCTTAAAGTTTGACCCGTCGGTCCGTTATTACTAAGCCCCGTACTAGCACTGTGAGCCCCGCGCGACCGGGCCGTGAACTGTCTGATCGGATCAGTGGAGGAGTACGATCCGACGGACCGTACGGCACGGTACCGGGACCGTACGGTCGGTGTACCGTACGGTACGGCCGCCGGGGTACGGTACTGTACGGTCAGTGTCCGATCCGGGGTACTACGGCGGTCGAGTTACGGTTACATATCCGTTAGGATCAAACTACTGCTACACCAGCCTGACGGTGGATGGGCGCAACGAGACCAGGCGGAGGTCCTTGGAAAGTACGAGGGTGGGTGGGGTCCTCAAAATGACCAGGGGTGGTAACCTCAGGAGCCTAGTTTTGTACTGAGAAACTTAAAAGCCGAGGGGTCAGGTGTCTGGGGTAACCCATGTAAAAATCATTGGGGGTAGGGGTAGTTGACCATCGGACCACAAACCAACATGGAGGTATGGAGAGCGGAGGGCTTCGAGGCGAAGATGGAGGCGGCGATGAAGAAGATGAAGACGATGCTGAAGGAAGGAAGAGACGCCTGCCTTCCTGCAGATGTTCCACACACCTATGAAGACAAGTGAGTTGAAACCTTGTTGTGAGCCATGCACTCAGCTACCGCACATTGTGGACTGTGATCTTTTTGGTGGCGTTTGATGTCGACGACGAGTGTAGGGTTGTTTGTGGACTGCGCCTTGTCTTGTTTCTCAATCGTATCCGTATAAGAATCGTTTTGAATATGAGGGTTTCAAACGCGATGATGCGTTGGTGATCTCTTGTGGCAGGTACGACCTTGTCGAGAATGTCACCAACTCAGCGTTGGCTTGTCTCCTGGGATCACTCGAGCTTTTCGGGCTCTCAAAGGACACGATCGACGCTAACAAGGCACATAAAGACGGACAGCCCGTCTTGCTCTGCTTCAAGAGCACGGAGAAGTGTGCGTTCGACTGCAAGAAGACCAGGGAGGAAGCACATCCTCGAAAGGTAGAGGCAGATACGAGGGTCACCAACACGCACGAGAACGATCAGGGAGACTTCTCAAAGACCACAAAGACAAAGACAACATCGTACAAGGTATCCACACTCATCGACGAGTTCTTCTGGAACTTTGAAGTGGAGTACAAGTTCTTCCTGGAGGTAGGGAGGGAGCCGCGGCAGGTGGAGCTTGTGAGCAACAAGATGGTCTGCAAGCTCAAGACGGCGACGGATGCTCCTCCTAGACCTGAGCTGACCTGCCATCCGAGCATGCAAGCAGACATCACTTGGCTCTTGAGCGCCGTCGATGAGCAGTCGGTGTTTCACTTCAAGGTCGACAGGAACAAGGGTTGCCGCACTCCCCGCAGGAACGTTCAAGTAGAGGCCCTGCTCGCCTCTGCTGCTGACTTCCGCTCCTGGTGTCAGAGTGTTGGCAACTACTTCTCTTCACTCGCAGTCGTGGCAGGGCAGCTGCCCTCGTCCTCGGAGCAGGTGGGGGAGCTGCTGGAGAGGCATCAGAGTTTTATTCCTGTCTATCCTTTCTTCTTCGTCAAACAGGGAGACGATGAGGGCCGCTCGGAGGCTCCTCAGCATCTGTTCCCCCTCGACGATCTTAACAGCATGATCCAGCGGCACAAGCAAGATCTCTCGTCTTCCCTCACTTCGGCCGAGCAGGAGCTGATCGCACGGAAAGGCTTCCTCGGGCCTCAGGAGGGCAGAGTCCTCTGCCTCCTCTTCCACCTCCTGCGCATCGTCGAGGACCATCACCGCAGTGTAAACCATGTGGAGGACGGAATGAGAGAGCAGCTGATCTCCGCCATCGGCAAGGAGATTCTTCCCTCCGACTTCCTGAACTACATGTGCTTCCACTACCGAAGGTTCTTCCTTCCGTCCTTCGCTCCCTCCCCCTTCTCCTTTGCCATCCGTCGACCCGATCACTTTCCCGACGGGGCCTTGACCATGGAGTGCAAGATGAGCAGCAGCGATCAGTACGAGCCTGTGCTCACCTTCCGCAAGGAGACAACAATCCCGCCCTCCTCCCCGATGAGGATGAAGATCAACTCAGGCACTCAAGTTTCTTTCTGCGGCCAGCAGCATCTCCACGGTTGGATCTCTTTCGACTTCGCGGGTAAGATGCTGGTGGACTTGACATCCTAATTGTCAGATCACTGACTCTTTCTCTCCCTCTTTCTCCCTTCATTCCTCCCTTTCCCCATGACCCTCGTTTCTCCCTCCCTCCCTCCCTCCCTCCCTCCCTCCCTTCCTTTTCCCCGAACGGTTATCTGTCTCCCTTCCCGTCTTCTCTCCCTCTTCCTTGTCCAGAGGAGGAGCAGATCCAGCTGAAGCTCTGTGCTCGTGCGCGTCAGTTCAGCTCCTTCCTCGTCCTCATTGGCACGGTCGTTTCCAAGGAGGAGTTCGAGGCGAAACATGCGTCCATCCTTCAGAACAAGGACGAGCTCGAGGTTCCCCTCCGGCTCTCCAGCATCTCCTCTCCTAAGGAGTTCCGGGATGCCATTGAGTCGCTCTCCCCCGAGCAGCAGGCGTTCGCCCGCAGCTACCGCAAGATGCAGCTCGGCTCTACCGTCTTTGCCGTCCTCGTCATCGAGATCAAGCCGCAGCTGGAGAAGCTGCTGAGCCTCGCGCCCGACAGCCTCAAGAAGGAGGTGAAGCTCACGCAGGACCTGATGGAGCTCTTCCTCAAGTACCAGATCCCCAGCGACCTCCTCACCTTCGACGGCGACCTCTCGACTCCAGCAGGGCAGAGGGTGGAGCAGATCAAGGAGCACGTCAACAAGGTCAAGAGTGTCATCAGCGAGACGCAGGAGGAGCAGCTCAAGTTGTCGGCCTTGGAGGCTGACATGGCGATGGAGGAGCTGACGGTCAAGGAGTGTTACAGCACCGCATGCTACGCCATGCCCCCACCTGCTCCTCCTCCTTGCGTGCGGAGGATGTGTGCACCTGGAGCTGCGGGAGCCGCCGCGCCCGCCATGGAAAGGATGATGAGCATGGAGAAGATGCCGACCAAGAAGATGAAGAGCGGCAATGCACTGCCGAAGCCGACGCCGACGCCGACGCCAGCTGAGACAGGAAGCAGCGGCAAGCAGCAGCAATCAACGCAGGAGAGCAGCATGAAACGAGAAGAAGCGGCCGAGGGAGGACGGGAGGGAGAGCTAGACATCACCAATATCCCGGTCGCCCTGGACAAGCGCATGGAGGAGGTGGACGAAGAAGGCGCGATGCGAGCATGCGTGCTTAAGCCTGACAAGACGTGGAAGAAACGAACCCAGAAGAATCTGCTCGCAGCCCCAGAGACGCTAACGTTGCAGGAGGAGGAGCAGAGGAGGGAAAAGGATAAAGCCTTTGACCTCCTCGATGCGCTCTCTCGCTCCGGCAACCTTCTCATCGACGCCTGCTCCCTGCACGTCGTGTTTCCTGCCTCCCATCGCTTCGATAAGTCGCTCATCGAGACGGTCACTTCATCCTCCTCACCCCCCGCTTTCACCCTTCACCTCTGATCCCCTCGCAATCTCCTCCTGCTGTTCTCCAGCTTACGCCTGCTACAGGTCATTGCTGACAACGTCAACCCCATCGAAAGGGTCGAGAGATCTTCTCTCATCCTTTCCTCCATCCTCCAGCAGGAGGACGCGAACCAGCTCGTCGCTCCTCCACACAGGGAGCGCATCCGCGAGCTCTGCCCGTCCCTCTGCTCCTCCCTGCCTCGTCTGGCTTCTCACTGTGACTGAGCTTTTAATGTTGCGAGCTACAAGAGCATAACATGCTCCTCCCATAACCGAAACGTCGCCGCCCTGCTCAGCTCCAGCTGCCCGTGCAGCATCTCTGCCACCATCCAGAAGGGAGACGCGAAGATCTTGAGAGTTACGATGGTCGCCTTGAGGAAGGAGATCACTATCCCCACCGGCGCCTCCTCCTCTCCCATCGCCAGAAATCGCAGCAAGTCCTTCTTCGCAGAAGTCATCCCGGCCCTCCCTTGTCCTTCTCCTGCTCGTCCTGCTGCTTCAGCATCCCCACTGCTTCCTCCTAGCGAGCCTAGCGACGACACCATCCTCGAGGCCTGCCGGCCAGCCCCGACGAGCATGTTGAGGCTGGCTCGCTGCAGCTGTTGGCTCTCGGGGCTCAGGTGGAGGAAGCGAAGCAAGGAGGTCGCGGCACCCGTGATGCTCTCGGCCGTTCCTGCCCCTACTGCCGCCTTGAGCGCCTCCTGCACCTTTCCTCCTGCAGCCTCCGCCCACAAGCAGGCAGTCGGCTTGTTCGAGGAGGAAGAGGCGAGGGAGTCGCGCAGGTGCCGGAGCTTGTTGGCGTGGATAGGCTTCATCTTCAGCTTCTGAATCCTCTCCTCGCTCAGCTCCACCAGGTCTGCCACGTACCGCAGCTCCTCTTCCCCCAGCGCCTCCTCGTACTGAAGGAGCCCATGCTCCTTCAGCAGCAGCCCCAGCCCTCCTGATGTCTCCCTGCTACTCTCATGCGGCCAGTGACCGCAGGACAATCGTGAAGCCAGGAGCCAAACGACGGGGAGGAGAAGGAGAGGGAGAAGGAGGAGGAGGCTGATTCGCAGGCAGCTGCTCCTCCCCTTCTGCTGCCTGCTCCTCGTAACAGGAGCTACGACCTTGGGTTGCTGCTCCTCCTTGCTGGAGGGTATAGCTCTTTTCCTCAGGGCAGACTCCTGCGCCTTCAGCGAGTCATCTGAGGGCTGCGGCGGGACGGCATCTTGAACTGCGGGCGGTGGATGGCTGGAGGCGGTAGAGGATGCTTCTCTTCTGGTCCTGCTCAGGAGTCAAGAGGAAGGAGGAGACGACGAGGAAAGAACCTGATCAGCCCCACAAGCCACGAGCAGAGAGCATGGAAGTCGATCGGCCCATGAAACTTCTCGCTGACGGTCAGGAGCCTCGGCTCGAGCAGAAGCATGCTGGGCAGCTGCTCAACCTTGTAGGCTGCTTGAAGGCGCCTGGAGGAGCGTGAGAGGACTTGAGAGATGGGAATGCAGGGAGAGAGGAGAGGCAGGACGAAAGACAGAGAAGAGGAGGAAGAGGAAGGCATGGAAGAAGAGACCTGCTGGATGGACTGATGACGTACAGGGCGATCTCGGTGGAGAAGGCGGCAGAGAGCAGGGAGAAGAGCTGCGAGCGAGTGAGGGTGGGGGGGGAGACAAGAGCTGCTGACCTCCTGGTGCTGACCCTCATGCTCGACGAAGCAGAAGAGGAGCGGGCAGGGCTGCTGCTCGGCTGCTCCCACCGAGTCATCGCGAATGATCGTCGGCTGAACGTCCTGCACGACCCTTTAAGGGAAGAGGATGCGGCACAAAATCGCTAGATGCGGGGAGAGAGTGACGGGCTGAACTGAGGAGGCAAGCATGAAGGATGGAAGGAATGGATGGAGGGAGGGAGGGATGGAGGGAGGGAGGGAGGGAGTATAGAAGAGTAGGAGGGGTCTGAGAGACTCAGCAGGAGAACCAAGAGGAAAGCAGAATGAAGAGAAATGGAGGAGGAAAACGCCGCGAGTTCCGCGGGCATGTCACCTTTCTGGACGTCATAGCGCTTGTGGAGCGAGCAACGAAGGCAACGACCTGGAGGAGGAGGAGGAGGAGGAGCGTCAGGGCAGGAGCAGGGAAGCAGCAGTGGGACCTCTTCAAGGCTGATCACTCCACTAGAGGAGGAGAAAGTCTCGACTCTTTCCTGCAGCGCAGCAGGAGCATGCACAGTCATGCAGGGATATTGCCTGCGAGTAGGTTATCGCAGCTCCTCATGGATCTAAGTCACCTCGAGGGGAGGGCGCCTGCTTGTCCCTGCATGAGCAACACGGCGCACGGGTATCGATGGTTGAACATTTTAGAGACCTGCAAGTCCATGTCAACAACGCCAGGTCAGCGACGAAAGGGAGGAAGGGTGAGCGTGGGGCAACCGAGCATGTCATGGCGAGCACACAATGGTCAGAGATGAAGTTTCGACCTGCTCAAACAGGACGGGCACTGAGTTCGTGTCGACGTACAGCACGATGTGAGGAAAATGAGGCTTGAGGAGCTTCATCTCCTACCCGCTGATATCAGATCCCAACAAGTCCGAGACAATCCCTCCATCACCTTCAAGTCTCTTTCCCATTCCAACCATCTCCACATCTCCTGCTGGCAGCGCTGCGTGCTCGGTCCCCACATGGCGGCCACTCCTCCAGCCCCCCCGAATGCTCTACAGCACTCGTCACGCACACGCACCGAACAGCTGCTCCCCTCCTGCCATCCCATTCTCTCCCGCCCCTGACTAATTTCTTGTCTCCTTCATTCTCCTTTCCTTTTCCTTTCACTCCCTCCCTCTCTCCTCACCTCTCCTCCTCACCTCTCAGGCTCCTTCCTCACTTCCTCCATGCGCGGTTGAAATGTTTCCTCCCTTGCCATCTCGCCATGCACGGCTAGCGACCCCGACGGAGCCTCTTGAAACGCTGAGGGAGATGGAGAGGTCACGGAGGGAGAAGCTGCTGTTGTTGCTGTTGCTGTTGCTGCTGTAGAAGGCTTTGATGACACGTTTCCTGCAAGCACATCAGTGAATGGGCAGGGTCGTCGTTATCAAGAGACCGAGGAGAAGGACGAGGCGGCTGGTCCCCTGGATCCAAGGCGGGACGCCTTCGTTGGAGTCGAAGAAGTCGTTTGCAAGCTCCCGCTGGCAGGTCTCAGCCTTGGCTCTGTCCTGGTTCGCTAGACCCTCAAGGAGGGAGGATAGCTTCGTCATGATGGACTCCCTCAGCGCCCCTGCTGTGACGCTGCTCTCCAACATCCGCAGCTTCTTCTCAGTGTCCTGCATCTGGCGCGCAGGAAGCTTGTGGCAGAGGGGGAAGGCAACCTCCTCCAACGCTCGCTTGATCGATGAGCTGTCGGCACTCACCGTCATGTGCCGTTGCTCAGTGCTCGAGTTTGCGCTGCTAGTTCGCCCTGAGCTCCCTGGAGAGCTCAAGGGGGGAGCAGGAGCAGATTGGATGGGCTGCTGAACAATCTGCTGCTTCTGGCTCGGCGGCAGAGAGGACGGGGGTTGCGCCATTGGCGTCTGCTGGTAACCTGCAGGAATCCCTGGGCTCAGAGGAAGCGACGAGTATGAGGGGGGGAGGGAAGGGGGCGGTGCGGGCTTGAATGGCGCCTGCTGTGACAAACTTGGCGGGACACCAGGAGGAGGTTGAGGAGCAGGAGAGGACGAAAACCCTGGCAGGTACAAGTCAAAGGCCAAGAGCTCGTTCTCATGAACTCACCGCTGGGGAGGCCTCCCTGGCGCGCGTTTGGAAGTACTTGCGGGGACGACGCGTGAGGACCTCGGACCACTTGAGCAGTGGGAGGCGGAGGACCGGGAGGAGGCACTTGATCGGTAAGATTCAGCTCGGTAACATGAGATCTCAACGGTTCATCACCTGGATGAACCATCCGTTGCTGCTGCTGCTGCTGCTGCTCTTCCTGCAACCCATGGGTCAGGCATCAGTTGTCTTACGGCTCAAAACTATTCGACACGTCCAAGCCTCACAGTACCCGCAACTTGGCAAGGATTTGCACTTACCGCTCCTCCTCCTCCTCCCCCTCCTCCCCCTCCTGCCGCCGGTGCTGGCTCCATGTCACGAAATTGCACGTGTTTTCAGTCAACTGCTGATGATCGGACTGTACTGATCGAAAGGTCCGAGGCACCGGATGATCTCAGTGATCGGACGGTGCCGCGCGGTGCCGGCCGGGCCCGGGCTTGAGTCCTTACCGTACGCCGGGTACGGTACGGTACTGACCGTCGGACTTCTTTTCTCAAAGTTAAAACGGCGGAATTCCCCGGGGGCCGGGCCAGCCGCCGATAGCGGCGGACTCCGGCGGGCGGCCGGGCCACGGCCGCCGGTGATGGGTTACGGTCAGGGTTCAAACGGTTCAATCATGGCATGAACTTCGGGATGTCAGGCTCACTGGCACAGTTGACGCAGTTGAACTTCGAAGGATATCAAAATTGAGCAACGTCATGGTATTACGGTATCACTGGACGGTGACCGTACGCATCCGATGATCACTGTTACCACTGGGCCATGCCAGACTCCGAGGCTCGGACGGACTACCGTGGGCGGCGGCCCTCAGGCTTGCGGCCGGCCGGCCCCGGCCCGGCGGACACTGACCGCGGCATCACCGTCACGGAATCAACTTCATGATTACCCTCACTACCAAGATCATCATGTGCAGCTGGACTCAGTACAGCTCTCGTCAAGATGACTTTTCATTGAATATCTCAGGTTTCAAATAAACAATAACGTGCCAGTGCTTCTGACCGACCCGGCAAAATGGTCGAGCTCTACCGTACTCCGAGAACGAATTTCGAGTACGAAATTCTACGCGAGTAGGCTTTCCACTCAATTGTCAACGTCAACGGCGTCCGACGAGTGCTTGAAGCGGTCAAACATGTCACGGTCGTCGATCTCGTTCATGATCCTGGCCTGTTCAGGTGACACCAGCCAGGACAGGTCAAAGCTCTGATCATCTTCTTCGACTGCATCCACTGCCCCAAGAGTCTTCAAGTCCTGCAACCAAGGGTCAGAAGAGCACTAGACTTGCTTCACAAGGCTTCAGTCACCTTAGCATCAGGTATCTTTGGAGTGTCGCTCTGTTGACTTGAGATTCCCAGCAGCCTTTCCAGCGGATCGCAGTGATCCATGACGTTGGCTCTTGACTGCTGGAAGCCTCCCAGCAAGCGCCAGTCGATCTCCGACTCCTCGATCATTGGAAACTGATCAGCAGCAACAGGCCTCTGCGCTACTGGTTGCGGCAAAGGGCGAGCAGGAATGCTCGGCTTTTCGATCTTCAAGCCTGAAGCGCGGGCTGAGAGGTGGGTTGGTATTGGCTTGATGATAGATGGCCCAGCAAGTGGGCTGGCAACGGAAGATGGTTGCTGAGAAGGAATAGCAGGTGTATCGGCCGGAACGTCTTTGTCATTCTTCTTCGGAGGAGCAAGCCCTTGCTTCCTCAGGATGATCTTGTTGCCTTTGAAAGGCCACTTCTCAATCCCGAGTTGTCGACAAACTTTCTTGATCACGGTTGCACAGATGCCCTGCCACTTCATCAGGACATGAATCTACTCTCGTCACAGAAAGCTCACCAGCTTCTTACAAACTTGTTGCTGCGGCATGTTGAAATGACTCTCTAGCACCTGTCTCGTGATGACTATGGGTGGCCGATTGCTTCCTAACTTGTCCTGTCCTGCCTTCCTCCTGGGGAAGATCGTGACATCATCGCAGTTGGGCAGCAGCCTCGTCCTCTTTCTTGATTTCTTCGACGCAGTCGAGGATGAAGATGATGACGCTGAGTTTGGAGAGCTGGTCTGTGACATGCTGAAGTCTGTGCTCATGCTTTCCACAAGCGATCGATGCAGACTTGGATCAGGGCGAGGATAAGAAGCTTCAGGCAACAGGGTGTTCCTCCAAAGATTGTGATATCGCATTTGATTTCCAATCATCATGTGCGGCTCCTGTCTTCCCAGCATTCACAAAATTCCCACAAAATTGATTTAGCTTGAGACCGAAAAGACACTGCCACGCTGCAACAACAGTCAATGAAATTGTCTAGATCTTGAATGGACTTCGAATTCAATTTGCTGGGCATCTCACAAAGACATCTTCACATAGGAAAGCAGCTACGAAAAAACGAACGGGACGTTTGCAACACAACAGGACTGACAATCAATCATCATCAATGACGCAGTTCAAAGTTAAGAGTACAGGTGAGTAACAATGAAATTTGTGATGGTGAAAGATGTGCGGGAAAGACCAATGCACAGTGAAGGTTTGATGTTCAATTCTGTCGAGTGGACGGAGCGCTGAAGACAAAAACTTTGTGCAACACAACACCTAGGACGCAAAGGGCAAAGGACATAGCTTGGTGAAGGGAGGGGCGGGGGAGGGGGGATGAGGAGAGAAAACTGCAGTGATACAGCAGTGTCCTGCAAAGAAGCAGAGAGGGTGATGGAAGCAGAGAAGCGTTGAAGCAGGAGCAACACAACGCTTCTCAGCCGCAACATAGGCATGGAGGGTATGAGTTGGTCTGCAGGGGGGCTAGAGTGACCTTGAGAAAGCCTGTCGGGAGGCGTCAGAAATGAGAGAGAGAAAGGAATAATGGAGGGTAGGGTGATAAAATAACAGGGTAGGGAAAACGTTTTTTCCTCAGTACCGGTTATTTCTAAGGACTAATCAATGGTATAGTAGGGGTGTTCAAGCGGCAACCCTTTTTTGGAAATGGTGGGTGGTTGAAATGAGTGGGTAGGGGTATCAGGAAATCTCCATCTGATCTGGTACAATCTCGACTCTATAAGTAATTTAAGATGCTATCTCGTTACATATACAAACATATGTAAATGGAATAATGTGAAATCGTAACGATTCAATTCCCTTCGATTGATCGCGCGAGCATTAAATTTGTACTTATAAACATGGGGGCAAAATGAAGGACCACCCCACCCTCAGTGGTCCTGAGGAGTTCTGCCTGTGGGTTGACAGTCAGCACGATACCACCCCGTTCAATAACACCCACAACTCTCCTCATTGACCCCTTTGAAAGAAGTAATTCGTACCCCACCCACCAAAGTACCCCTCCAAGTTAACCCACCCCACCTGCACCAGCCCCAATCCCAATCGCCCCCCTCCATCTGCCGACCCTTGAGTGTCGGTATTTTGGCCCCTTTCTTGGAAAAGTAGTTTTTAATTCACTCCTACGTACCCTTCAGGTTTGTAGATGCTCGAATTTGTGGTACAAATATTTGCTCAAACTTATTTCTTTAGAAAGGATTATGCCTTAGAAGTATTGTATCAATCTTGATTGGCTTCCTACGTTTCAATTGAAATAAAAATTATACTGGTACCATCTTAAAAAAGCATGTACTACCTGCCTCGCTTTGACCCTACCTAACATCGCCCCCCAACTGTTCCCAGGAAAGTACCCCTCCAATAGAATAATACATGGTATTGGTGACTCATATCTAGAAATCCTGGTTTGGCCCCCCTCCTCGTACTAATCTCGTTAGATCTCCCGACCCTAGGAAAAATCATACTTTTATCGTCCCACCCCTGTCATCCATAACCCCAGATTTTCATAGATTCAGGGGTCATCAAGTATGGTACACCGAAGCGTCCCATTTTCTATTACAGTGCCGGGGGTCCCAGTACGTCCCGTTGATGACAACAGGCGACCCCCTAAGTTTTAAGACTTTGTAACGGTTTCCGGATTCCGATCAACTGCCATCCAGTGCCCCGTCCCCATTTGCCCCTGATCCTTACCAACATCCCTGCCAACATCCCCTTGCAGATCCCCATTCTGGTCACCCTGTCCCCCAGCCTGTCTCCACCACGATCCTGCCAGGAACCCCATCCTTGTCTCCTTGCCTGCCCATACCCCAGCCACAGCCCGCCCGCGAGCCAGGTCGCGGCCTACAACATCCGCATGTTACGACGAGGATCTTCAACCAGCTATTAGCAGATATTCTTTTGTTTTCTGATTTTGTTTGTTGAAAGTGAAACAAGGCTACTATTCTAACTGTCTTCATGTTACGTGACATCACCCCAATACAAACTAAAGGAAAGGAATTTAGAACCCGAATGAGTCTCATCACTGAAGCAGCCTCGGAGTCAAGGAGACCCTATTGAGCATGTGTGCTGGTGATTTCGTCAACCCACGCTGCCACTCTGGGTTAGTTCAGTGAAGAAGAGGAGAATTTGAGAGCTCTTGTAATGCTTGACACGAAGCCTTCGAGAATAAGATACTTCACAAGCACAGGAACAATGAGGAGTTTCTTTTACTAGAACACAAGCAGGGCAGACGCTAGGATATGAAGCGCTTTGCCTGCCACGAACACTTTATGCCTACGGCATGAGCCTGCATTTGGTGTTCACAGATGTATTTCTTGACTCAAATAATGAGTCATGATGGGATGGTCGGAACTTGTATCAGTGATGCCACTTGACAGTGAGCCTGCGGCCGCTTGAAAGCCTTGATTCGGACTCCCGGACCGTACGGTAGTGACGAGCCTCGGAGAGCAGACGGCAGGATGCCAGGCACGGTTGTTTCTCGCTGCTGTCTTTTCTCTTCTTGCCGTCATAGTCCCAGTGATGGCCTGTGCGACTGCTTTACTCAAGGTTAAATAAAAAATCAGTACTACGGTACGAGGACAATCAGGAGAGTAGAGGAGGCTTGACCCTGACCCTGACGCAAGCTTCCACTTGTAGAGTCAAGCCTCCTCTACTCTGAGAGTCTCAGCCTGATTGTCCGGGAGTCCCGGCGTACTGATTTTTAACTAAACTTTGAGTCAAGGCGAGTACTACTACATGATCGGATTCTTCTTTCTTTCTTTTTTTTGGTCCCCCGGTGCCTCATCCGGCGAGTCGGTTGGATCCGATGACGGCCGCCCGGCTCCGGAATCACTCAAACTGGCTTGAAACCATTGAGAGTCGGGGGCTTTGACCCTCACCTTGCAACTTCTCCCGTCAGCCCCCCCGCCACGTAACCAGTAAAGATGACGGCCGCTTGTCACCCGGAGTCGAACTGCCTCATGATAACACTCTATTTCCCCGTCAGCGGGAGAAAGACATGAGCGAGAAACGCAACGGTTGAGGATGGGGGCACAACTGCAGGAGCATAAGTGATGATATCTTTTTAGGGGGCAAGATGTACCTCCAAGTAGAGGTAGGGGTAGTAACATAGGAAAGGAAGGGGGTGGGTGGTTATTCACTTTACTCGAGGCGCCAGCGGCAGTCACTCCTTTCTCCCCCGCTCCTCCTCCCCAACTTACCCCCTTCCAGCCGCTCTTCTCTTTACACCCGCCCCCTCCTTCTCCTTCTCCATCTCCTCCATCGCTCTTACTCCCCTACCTGCACACTTCTCTTCCTGCTCTTTGCACCTCTGTTGTATTTCCCGTCTTCACCGTCCCTTCTTACATCCCGCATTTGCCACCCTCTACCACGTGCTCTTCGAGTGTACTTCCCCGTCTCCCAACAACCATGAGCATCCTGACAACAGCTTCGCCTCCTGCAGACTCAGATTGGCTCTCTCTCTTCCTCCGGGACATCGACACGGCCTTTCCCCCTTCAGCTCAGGATCTTCTTTTCCTCATGGACCCTAACGCAGATCCTTTCTTCACCGATCCCGACTCCCTTCCGTCACCTAGGCAGCACGACATCTCAGACGAAACCAGCAGCTTGCTCTCTCTGCCCCCGTCGCCAAGTCAGCTCCAGTTTGCCTCCCCTTCCCCTCAGCCAACGTCCCAGCAAGTCACTGGTGTCCGGTCGCCAAGCAAGGACTCAGACTCAGAGCAGGGCATCCTAAGAAGAGTCTGGAGCAGCGAGGAGCAAGCGAAGTTCATCGAACTTCTGTCCAGGTACTGCCCAGCAGACTCTAGGCCGGTCCATGCCGGGGGGGTGTTGTTTGGTGGGCTTGGACCAGGGGTTGCCAAACGGATCGCACAGGCTCTTGGAACGCGGTCGCCGGCGCAGGTTCGGTCGCATGCGCAGAAGCACTTCCAGTCGATGAGCAGGAGGATGGCGAGAGAGCCGGGAGCAAGGCTCCTTCACATCTGAAGTGGAGGTACCTGTGAAGAGAAGGGAGGGACCATGAGTGTAGATAACAGGGAGTTAAGAAGCGTCAAGATAAAATCAGATAGTCCTTCCTCGTCAGCAGTTGCGTGTCTTAGGTAATAAAGCCACTTGTTTTCCATGCATGCTCAAAACTTTGTACACCCTCCTCCTGCTCCCCCTCGTCTTCTATGGCTTAGAGTTGGTGGGCGGCAGGAGGAGGCGTTAGTAGTCATGGCGGCAGCGATTGGAAACATCAGCATGCGATATGAACATGATGGTTCAGCATGCGATATGAACATGATGGTTCAGCATGCGATATGAACATGATGGTTCAGCATGCGATATGAACATGATGGTTCAGCATGCGATATGAACATGATAGTATGGAGACGTGAGATAATTGCTTCCTTGTTGGCATACACGAGCGTGCAATTGACCAAAATCTGATTAAAAAATTGAGTCATGGGGGAGGGGGGTGGGAAGGGTCGCATCTCCATGGCCATGGCTGCGGCTCTGCTGCTCATGGGCTCGTGCGATGGCAGCATGGCGCATGCTGCTCGTCGGCCGACGGGCTTCCTCCTTATGCCATGGCATCGTCAGGGATGGAAGGTGCAAGCTATGAGACGGACCGTCTGCTGCTCCTCCATCAGACCTGCCGTGCCCCTATGCGATTGGCTCGAGACCAACGGCGCGAATGGCATCGGCGACCTGGTAACCATCGCCAGGACGTCGGACGGGCAGCTCGGCATGTTCGCTCTGCAAGAGCTCCACAAGGATCAGCGCGTGCTCTCCCTGCCCGCTAGCATCTGCTTCTCCGAGGAACGTGAGCTGGAGGAGGAGGAGGAGGAGGAGATGACTGGAGCTCTCGGAGCTCTAAGCGACTTGTACGGCTTCAGCGAGGAGTCTCCTGTCGGAGAGCCAAGTATCGTCCTGCAGCTCTTGCGGGAGTTGAGCAAAGGTCAGCAGTCCCGCTGGTTTGGGTACTTGCAAGCTCTTCCAGCACAGGACAGGTTGGATGCCCTGTGGCTGGATGAGGGTGTTTGCTTGCTCGACGATCAGTGCGACTTGTTGAGGCAGAGCTGTAAGATATCAAGAGCAGTCGATCGAGAGTTCAAGCACCTTGACGAAGCGATCTTCGCACATGACGTGTCAAGGTACCCTAGGGGAACATACAACCTGCAGACTTACAGGCAAAGCTGCGTCTGATCTCATTGCTTGTCAAGGCTGACATGTTCTGTTCTCTTGCACGTGAAGATGGGCCAAGAGTTTGGTGCTCTCTCGAGCATACGCTGTGGATGAGTTTGGCGGCCTCATGATGCTTCTGCCTGGTGACCTCTAAAGTTCCCCTCCTCCATTCGTCCTCCCTCCTTCCTCCCTCCTTCCTCCCTCCTTCCTCCCTTCATCCTTCCTTCATTCTCTCCTCCCTCCCATGTTCCCCGACACCTTCTCCGACTTGTCCTGTCTTCGTCTCCCGCTCGTCAGTGTACCAGCGTTGACTTGTAGCTCGTCACCAGGGATTGACTTTGCGAATCACAACCCGCACGTAAGCAGCGTGAGGGCTGGTGGGGCTGTTGAAGTCTCGCAGGTTTCGTACAACGTGAGAGGTGAAGATGATCTCGATGATGCGGGGAGAGTTTCCTTGTTCGTTGACCGAGCATACCAGAAGGGCGAGCAAGTGCATGCCATTCATCTGCATCTCCTCTCTTTCTCCGCTTGACGATTACCATGTCTCCAAGGTGTGGAGCAGTTACGGCAACCTTGACGACGAGCAACTTGCGCTCATGTTCGGTTTCACGTGTGCGGCAGACGGAGGAGGAGGAGAGGAGAAGAGAGGAGTGAACGTGGATTTCTCAGCCCTTGTGGATGTGAGTACGTGGAATCAGTCCCTCCCTCCTTGCCTCCCTTCCTCTACCCCCCCCCCCTCTCCCTGCTTCCCCCCCAACCTGGTACAGAGAAAGGGGGGGAGGGGGGGATGACAGACAGACAGAGACAGAGACAGAGACAGAGGAGGGGGGGAAGGGGGGGGAAGAGCCCTTTCACCCTGATCCTGATATTCTCCTCGTTGCATCCTTTCCGAATGATCTCCGAAATGTCGTACGCTGACCTTCTCCCCAGACTTTTCCAGGGCCTGAAAGATCAGAAATTCTCAATCGTCTGAGAGCTGCGAACCTCAATGGAAGGAGCATATTAAGATTGAGCACAAAAGTCATCCGGGTGAGAAGAATGGGTTTCCGACTCCCCTCTCATTCTTGTGATCCTTCTTTCCTTCAACCCTCACGTACTCCTACTCCTCTTGCTCCCCCTGCCCCTCCTGCCCCTCCTTGTTCTGCTCCTCCATCATCTGCCTAAAGGCTCTTTCTCTCATTTCAGCATCACTGTTCTTTGTCATCACTGATCCTCCCCTTCAGCGCATACAGGATATTCCCCCGCACATCTTCCTCCTTCATCCTCTCGGCAAGTTCGCTCCTCGTCTCCTCCTGCCATGACCCTGAGCAGGAGCAGACGAGAACGACCAACAGCGGGCGTGTTTGAATAGCCTGACTCGTTTCCTTGAGGTCTTCTCCTCTCTCTTTCTGCTCTCGTCGTGACCGATCCGCAGGAGGAGCAGGAGAGGGTGCGCGCGAATCTGCGGCAGGCAGGGGAGAGGGAGGAGACGAGGAGCAAGCTGCTGGAACAAGTGCTGGAGCAGAGGCTGGCGGAGACAGAGAAGCTGGTTGAACATTTACATGGGCTGATAGCAGATGACATGAAACGATGATGATGAAAATGATGATGATGATGATATGAGGAGGAGGAGGAGGAGGAGGAGGAGGAGGAATGTAACTGTCTCCTCTGCTCCTTTGTCACTCTTTCTTCTCCTTGAAGTCAGCAGGCGTGAAGCCGCTGTGACGATCCTGTAGAAGCAAGTCAGAGCCCAGCACAAGAGTCAAGATGCCCCAGCACCTCTGGCGGCACAAACTCGAGATCTGACAACCGAAATGTCAATGGGACGAGCACGACCAGAGTCTTGAGGGAGAAGAACGTGAAGGGAGTAGAGAAATACGTAGAGGATGAGGGGCAGGGGCATCACAAGGAGGGACGACAAAATTGTTAGAGGTGGAGGAAGTGGAAGAGGAAGGGGGGGGGGGGGGGTGGTTGGGACGAGGAGGAGGAGGAGGAGGAGGAAGGTACTCACGGAGGATGTCGAACACGTCCTTCTCTCGGGTGCATTTAAAGGGGAGGGAGAAATTCTCCTCCTCCTCCCCTCCGCGGGTGACTCGGTAGATGCCATGGTCAGAGAGGGAGAGGCCCTTCTTCTTGGCTAGGAGGCGCATGGAGCGGTTGAAGTGGTCGGATCCCGTCATGTGCAGTAGGGCAAAAGGGACCTGCGGAAGAAGGGTGAGCGAGAGAGGAGAGAGCAAGGAAGGAGAGGGGAGGAGTAGAGAGGAGAGAAAGGTAGAGGAGGAGGTAGGAGGAAGGCAGCTAGCAGAGTGAAAGGAAAAGGAAGGCGCTGAGAAACGAGCAGGAGCAGCGAACAGCACAGACAGGACAGGAGTGAGCAGGGAGGAGGAGAGAACCTGGTCTATGGGGTACGATTTGACGTCAAACCGTCTCCACCTCCCCTCCGTCCCCTTCCTCCGCAGGATACCCATCCAGTTGCAGCATCCGTCGTGGTTCGCGCTCCTCGAGGGGAGGGAGAGCGTCTTCACGTCGAACTCGCTCTGAAGCTCCTCCATCAGCTTCTCCACGACCTCAACGCCGCACCCTCCGTCCTTGCGCGTGAGCAGACAGTCGATGTCTCCACTCTCCTGCTTCCCCCTCCTGTAGCTCCCGCACGCGATCACCTCCACCGTCGCTCCCCCCACTCGCTGTGCATGCTGGCGGATCGCCTGCTCCAGCGCCGCCACCTCCCTCCTTGGCATCTTCGTGTTGATGTCCTCGTTGTGCTCTACCCCGATCCTCACGTGGGTCGGCAGGTGCACCTGCCTCGCCCCCTCCCCGACCGTTGTCTTCCCCTTCAGCTCCTCCACGCTGCGGATCCCGGCAGCGATGAGCCGACGGGCTAACGTGTCCCCGACCCCCCACACGTTTTTCAGCTCCTGGAGGATCTTGAGGTTCGGGTTGCTTTTCATGGTCTCCAACTTGGCTATCCTCCCCGTGTCGAAGAGCTCCTGGATCTTCTCTCCTATCCTGCTCCCTATCGCTGCCTTCCCTGCCAGCTCCGCCCTCCAGTTCTCGCTCGTCAGCTCGACCTCTACCTTGGAAATTGCTGCGATCGCCTTGCGGTAAGCCATCTCCCTCCACTTTTCTCCCTTCGCCGCGTACGTCTCCTCCATCTCCTTCAGTGCCATCGTCAGCTCCTTGTTCCGTATCGTCCCATCCTCCATCGCCTCCTTGTGAGAAAGCTCCACTCCCTTCCCCCTGCTCCTCCCGCACAGGTACGACTGACGGTAGAGGTCCTGCCGGTCCGGCGGCAACAAGCTTGATGCATCCTCCTGCAGGACCAGTCAGTCCATGAGCCTAAGGCGGAAACCGACAGGGCAACGCATCTTCTCACTTGCTCCTCCTCCTTCCCCTTCCCCTCCTGCTTGTACTCGTTCATCTACTCTCCACCCTCATTCTCTTCCATCCCCTCTCTTGTCACCTCCTGCTCTTCGTCTTCCCCGTCGGAGGGGACCAGTGCTCGTTGGATCACTGTCTCGAAGCGGTCAGAGCGTTCGTTGGAAATTGCTATCCCCGCGTGCTCTCTCTCTATCTTGTTGGCAGCCTGCTTGCTCATGCTCTCTCGCTCACACCTGCTCTTGTGCCCAAACTCTGTCTCGCATCTCCGCAGCTTGCAAGGACGGAGAGCAGTCGTCACTTTTACGTCGCTGGGAGGGGAGGGGAGGGAAACGGGAGAGTCTTGATCTCCGCGCTCCCTTCCTCTCCTCGCTGGTTTCCAGAGAGTCATGACTTGCTGAGGGTGCGGGCTGGCTGCCTCTCGCGGTCTCTCCTTCTCCTTCCAGGTGTGCTCTTCATCATGCAGCAGCCTTCCTTGTACGATGCATTCGTCGATCCAGCTGAATCGCTTGCAGTGGGAGGAGAAGGAGTGCAGAGGCGCCTCAAGGTGTTGTTGAGCTTGAGAAAGGCTCGTCTCGTCATGGATGATGACAAACGTGTCATCCTCCTGTAAGAACTCGAGCAGGGTGTTCTTCTTGCGCTGGATGGCGCTCCTTTCATAGACTGTCCCCCCCTGCTCCTCAACCTTGTGTTTCGTTTCTACGCATTCACGGCAATCGCAGAAGCCTTCTTGATGGATCACAACCATGTTGCAGAACTGGAACACGTCCTGTGCTTCTCTTGCTTCGCATGCCTGCACTCCTTCCTTTCCTTCAGGCTCGTTCCCTTCAGATGCCTTCCACTTGCTTGTTTGGAGTCTCGATTTTTGACGGAAGAACATGTCTATGCAAGCTTGTTGGGCTGACATGAAGCTTGAAGACGATGAAGTTCTTCTATCCTCGCGTCTCTCTCCTTCCTCCTCCTCCTCCGCCGCCGCCGTCTCCGCTAACTCCAAACATGGCAACGGTCTCCACGAACCTAGGGTCACTGTGCTGCCCTTTTCATTCGGGTAGAAAAGCTAATTCAAAGTTTCTGTCTTTTATGAAATCGATCAAAAGTAAGCGAGGTGAGCTTGCTTTCTCTGATGCAAACTCACCGGGCCCGGGGCCCACGCGGCGGCCCCGGCGGGCCTCGAGCGGACATGAGGGGGGTGAGGCAAGCTCAGAAGGGCATGTAGAGACACATGTAGAGGCGCTGAGATACTTGGAGTCGGACCGGAGCTGCTGGAACAGGCAGATGTAAATGGTCAGACCTGTGCGCCGCTTGGGCAAGCGCTGCGAAAAGGGGCCGGGGCATTTTGAGGTCACGGTGCTCAAGTATCTCGTGGAAGTTGGGAGAAAGGATCTCCTGGTGCAGAAGGACGAGGATGGATCTACATGCGTCCATGCTGCAAGCTCGGGAGGGTATGTGGATGTGCTACGATACCTGGTTGAGCAAGAGGGTCCAGAGCTACTTGGATGTAGGCAAATCATTCGACGGGTCGACCGGCGCTCATGTGGCAAGTTCAGAAGGCCATATGGAGGTGCTAAGGTACCTCGGAGAAGTTGGGGGGCGCGAGTTGCTGGCGCAGGCGGACGAGGCAGGAAGGACATGCGCGCACTACGCCAGCAAGGGAGAGCATGTTGAGGTTCTCAAGTACCTCGAGGAAGTATGTGGACTCGAAATCCCTGATTGATGTTTGTATGACGCTCGAATGATTTCTCGCAGCACTGAAACTATCTTGATGTTCAGATAGATGACTCGGACAGTTTCAGTAAAATCGACCGCAAACTGCTTCCACAAATCGCCTTCGACTTGGTCCTTGCTAGATGATTTTGACTGAGTCAGTGATAATGTTCTTACTCGGCCGCAGGGGGGACCGCCCGATCGGTCCCCGCCCCCCCCCGAGTGATCGAGCCGTCCCAGAGACAGCAGCTCGATCAAAGTCGGACTGTGAGGCCGTCGAACATGAAGTGGAAAGGGGTGACTGAAGTTACCATGATCCAATTTGAGTATGTAGTTGATCAGTAAATTACATCATTAAGGTGAGCTTTCTTTCCATTCCTAAAGCTCAGGCAGAGACGACGGAAAATTGTAAGATATCATTTCAGTCGTCTGAAAGCATCTGAGACATGCGAGGAAGCGTGACAAGTGAGAGTGTGATGGAAGGTTTGCGATCATTTTCTTTATTCACAAGCAACACACAGCTATCTAAATTATCTTCACACTAAAAACATCTTCTCGTCCATCTTGTCGAGCGCGGCTCGCACAGGAGCGAGTCCTTCCTCCTCGAGCACATTCACCAGCATGTCCCTAGCGGACTGCTTTCTGGTGGACTCGAACAGCTCTTGCTGCAGCTCACCGGAGAGCACGAACTTGAGCATGGCAGGAGAGAAGCCGCTCAGCATCGTGATGCCGGGAGCGTCAGGAGGAGCATGGAAACCATTGCATGCATCCTTGACGTTCCAGAAGATGATCTGAGGGAGATCGAGGGGCTTCCCATACAGCTTCTCTCCTGCCTGAGCGAACAACTTGGTCAGGTTCTCGTAGAGAGTGCTCGGTTCGGCATCGCTCGCACTGTTGAACTGCATGTCCGAGATGATGAGGAGGTTCGGCACGTCCTCCGAGCTCAGCTTCTTCTCCTCAACGAGGGACAGCACGAGCTCCATGGCCTTGTAGATGTCGGTGCTGCAGCCCCAGTCCGACTCCCTCACGTGCTGCACCTTGTCCACAAAGTCCCGGCAGTCCCCGAGAAGCCTCCATGAGGGCTCGGACGAGAAGGAGAGGACGCGGTCCTTGTAGGCCGGGTGCGACAGCTCGGAGCACAGGATCCCAAGGGCGATCGACACGAACATGGGCACACCGCTCATGGACCCGGAAACATCGCACATGGCGATGGTCTTGCCGAGGTCGACAGGCCTCGATGAGCCGGAGGCGATCGCCTTGTCTTGCAGGGCATCTTGGACGATCGAGAGCACCTGCGAGACTTTACCGGTGCTCTCGTTCGCCTCCTTGGCCGCAAGAGCGTCCTCAAGGTCCTGCGCGTTCTTTCGCAGCTCCTCCTTTCTCTTTGCTATCATCTCCTCCACCCCCTCTCTGACCTTGGCCCACAGGCACTGGTACAGCTCGCGGCTGGCCTCGGAGATGCCTCCCCTCTTATCGCTCTCTTCCCAGACCTCCTTCACAAGGTCGTGCGGGAACAGCTGCTTCCCTTGCAGCTTCTTTGAGCGCATAGCGTCCAGGAAAGCTTCCCGGCATGCGAGCCTCGCAGCATCCTTGGAGCGCTCCTGGGGAGGATTTCCGCGCTCGTTGAGGAAGGCTTTGCTGTAGCGCTTCACAGCCAGCGAGGGCACCTTGTTGAAATCGATGCTGTCCCACTCATGGGCGCACATCTTTGTCTCGCAGACATTGAGCGCTCTTCGCAGCTCGGCAAGAAGCTTGCGGTACTTGCCCTTAGCATACCGTGCTGCTTTTTCTGGCTGCTTGGTACCGCTCAAGATGTCTTTGTACATCTTTTCGCAGATGCAGCGCACAGCGTGCAGCTGACGGTCAAAGGCATGGCCTTCAGAAGGAGCATACTTTGCGCAGAGAGAAAGTTTCGGCTCTCGCGCCTCCTTCTTTGCAAGGACCAACTCCTCATGGTCTGCTTGCAATTGGTCTGCGAACAGGGACCAAACCTTGCCCGCCAGTCTTTCATAACCGATCTGCTTGCTTGCTGCTTTGCAACGCTCAAGCAGAAACAGCAGATCTTTCCAGTAGCCAAAGGAAGGCACAAGCTCAAGAAGCTCGACAACAACGTCTGGAAACTTCTCGTGGAGGATCCTCATCATGGCGAGAAACAGGGCTCTTTCACCCTTTCCTCCCCGGCACCACCGAGTCTGAAAGGTCAAGACGAAGAGGGATTTGATCGCCTCTACATCCTTGGCCTCCTTTGACTCTGACACCGCTTGCTCAATCAGCGAGCGAATGCCTTCCTCCGGAAACCCCCGCACCAGGCCCCCCAGCAACTGCAGAAGAGGATCCCCATAGGACAGGGACTCCATCTCCCAATGCCCATTCTCTCCTCGGGAGAGAGGATAACTGGGAAAGGTTGCGGCTGATGCCATGGCAGGTACAGGGATCGAAGGAAGACTGGGTTTGCTTGGTAGGAGGAGGGGAGGGGAACGGCTGTGGCAACGGGAGGAGGGGGAGGAAGAGATTACTGGATGGGACGGGAGGGAACCTTTTGATAATCAGGTTCCCTACCCTACCCCTAATACCCTCCAGTACCCTTACCCCCTTAATTCCCATTAAGTACCCCCTGTTATCTCACCACCTCAACACCAATTTAACCAGGAATTTTTTCTTACCACCCCTTTTCGTGACAACCGACTATGAACATACCAGTAGTAGGGGTACTCCAAGTTTAGGCGGTCTGCAGCAGAGAAGGAAGGGGTTCAGCGACAGTAGAAAGTAGGGGTGTACGTTGAAAAGGTGATACAGTCACAGGGGTGGGGTGGAGCTGAGCTCGGGTGGTTCAGGTAAGTTTGTGGGAATCAAGACCAGTGATGTTGGCAGACCAGAACTTCAGACTTGTGACAGCCTGTCCTCGAGTCCAGCTGGCAGCTCAGCTGAAGGCCTCATGGCACCGTGACCAGGTGACCGTGCCTGACTGTCAGTGACTCCGGGCGGCCGGCCCGGGAGGGGACGGGCCCCGGCCCGCGGGCATGATCCGGTCCGGCGGCGATGCCATGATGCACGAGTGCCCCGGCCCGGCTCCGAGTCAGTGCTAGTGTGTGTGTATCATAGTAGGTAGTTGCGTGATTCACTGCTCTCGTCTGCAGCAGGAGAAGCTCTAGTTGCCTCCGGCGAATCGCCCGCCAGCCTTCTGCCCGTTGATGGCGAGGAGGTCGACGTCGAAGACAAGCTAGAGTTGCGATCAGAGTGAGGAGGGAGTGGAGGGAGGGAAAGAGATGGTTGAGGGAGGGCGGGAGGCCCCGGAGGAAGGGCAGGAGATAGATAAGAGGGATGGGAGGAGGGGAAGAAGAGGAGGAGAAGGGAGGAGGAGAAGAGAGCATTACCTCAGCGTTGGGGGGGATGGGGCCCTGGCCAGTGGCGCCGTAACCGTACTCAGGGGAGATAACGAGCTGAGACTTCTCGCCGAGGGACATCTGAGGCCGGAGGTGAGGGGAGGGAGAGACAAAAGACGAGCGGGGAGAGGGAGGAGGAGGAGGAGAACGAACAACAGGGGGAGGGGAGGGAGATCAAGGAAGGAAGGGTTGAGATGACAGGGAGAGGAGGAGGTTGACCTGAAGGACTCCCTCATCCCACCCACGGATAACCTGAAAGAGCGAGCACAAGAGTCAGGCGTTCGGGAGGAAAAAGATGGAAGCAGAGGAGAGGAAGAAATTAGAGAGGCGAAGAAAGCGAGGGAGGAGGAGCGGAGCACGGCAGGAGAATCTTTTCACCTGTCCGGTTCCCACTTGGAAGGTGAAGGGGGGACCGCGCTTGATGCTGGAATCGAACACCTGCTGGGGTTCAGCTAGGAATGGTGGGGCCTTCCTCCTTACCTGCTTGGTGGCCCTCAACTTGCCGACGTAGTGGACGGTGCAGACATCGCCGGGCTGGAGGAGGAGGTGAGAAAGAGAAGAGGAGGAGCAAGGAGGACAGAGGACGAACTGGTACGAGGATAGGAGGAGGTGCAGACTGAGGGGAGACACAGAGGGAGAGGGGAAATATTAGAGGAGCAGGGATGCAGGGAACATGTGGAGATGAAGGAGGGAGGAAGCAGCAAAGGAGGCGTGAACAACACGAAGAGGATAGGAGGAGGAAGGGAGAACACCTGAGGGTAGTTGATACCGTCACCGCGGCGAATCTGAGTGACCTTGACGCCGCTGCCAGCGCAGTAAGGAAAGAGCAGAGCAGGAGAGAGGGAGGAGGAAGGGGGAGGTTGTCATGGTCAGAGAAAGCGCAAAGGAGGGAAGGAAGGCAGCGTTACGCACGAGACAGGAGCAGCAGCACGTGGCTGAGCGGCAGGTTTGGGGGGAGCCCTGGAGGGCACTGCGGACTTTCCGCCAGCAAGAGAATATCCCTACAGAGCATGCAAGAGTCAGGTACAAGCCGAAAATATGCTGTGCCAGTAGAGGATGAAGGAGGAGGGAGAACGAGAACACGACAGGTGGTAGAAGGAACGAGAAGAGGGAGGGGGGGGGGGGGAGCGAATGAGCAACGGGTAAGTAATGGAGGGGAGGAGAGAAGAGGAGAGGAAGCAATGATTGACCTTGATCTCGTCACGCTGGGACTTCATCATGAGCTGACGAAGCTCCTTTTCGTCCACCTCAACCTGACAGGAGCTCTCACTTGAGGTTTGTGATAGGAGAAAGCCGATAACGAGGAAACTTGACAAGGATCATGGAAAGCAACATCCCAGAAGGGCAAGGAGCAGGAAGTAAAGAGGAGGAGGAGCAGGACGAGGACGAGGACGAGCAGGAGGAGGAGAAGGAGGAGCAGGAGGAGGAGTTACTTCGTTGCTGGTGGCCTTGGCTGCTGGCTTGGCAGCAGGAGCGCTAGGAGCGCCAAACCCTCCAAATCCTCCAAAGAGGCCTGAAAATCAACTAAGGATCAGGACAGAGACAAGGAGGGTGGGGAGGAGGAAGTGCAGGAGGAGGAGGAGCGAAGAAAGGGCTGAGAGCGCGGAAGAGGCAGCGAAGTAGAGGCAGGAGACCTCCAAAGGGGTTGGCAGGCGCTGCTTTCTTGGCGGCCTGCTCGGCTTCGATCCTGTCACACTGTAAGCCAATAAGCGCGCATGGTCACTTCCAGTCCTCCACCTCGCTGCCTCTGCTGCTGCTGCCTCGGCGGCGGCGGCGGCGGCGGCGGCCTCAGCCTCGAGCCTTCTGGCCTCAGCCTGCATGACAGTGAGGAAGAGAGATGGGTGGAGCCAAAGCGGGCGCAGAAGGAGGAAGAGAGGAGGAAAAGGAGGAAGGAGGGATAAAGATCAGAACCTCAAAATCTTGCTGCTGAACATTCTTGGCGGGAGCTCCAAATCCACCGAAGAGACCAGCGAAGGGGCTACGCGCACTCCCGTCATGCATGCTCGTCATCACAACTCTCTCTCACTTGGCAGGAGCAGCAGGAGCCGCTCGTGGTGGAGCTGCAGCCTTGGGAGGGGAAGGAGGGGCAGGAGGGGCAGCGGCAGCCTTAGGAACAGCAGCCCTTGGCACAGCACGAGGGGCAGCCTGACCGGCGATTAGAACGCAAAATCCTTGCACTTTGTGATCTTGCCTTGGGTACAGGGGCAGGAGGAGGAGTAGGAGGAGGCGCTACGTCTTCAGCCTCGAAGACCTAGAGGGCATCCAGTCATAACAAGCTCCTCCTCCACGTTGGCTGTCACCTCCTGTTTTGGCGCCTGCTGCGCTCCTCCGAACCTGCAAGTTGTCGTCAGCCCAACGCGTCTACTGCTGCTGGTCCCACAGGTTGCCGAAGGCGGCGAAGGGGTTGGCGGGGGCGGCGGGGGCGGCAGGTTTGGCCTTGGGGGGCCTTAGGATAAAGTCAGACGAGATGAGAGGGTAGGAAAGGAGAGGAGAGGGGGAGGAGAGGAGAGGGGCAGGAGAGGGGCAGGAGAATGAAACGATGGAGAAGAGATGGAAATAGAGGCGGAGGAGACGATTCGGCTCACATCTTTCCAGCAGCGCGCAGAAGCTCCTCGTACTCCTCCTGACTGATCTCCTCATACTGCTGCATCTTCAAGGAGCAAACAGGCTTGGGGCTGGCCTGGACAGCAGGAGGAGGGTCATCGAATATGCTCATCAGCATCAAATTCTGACCCTCGAGAACGACGGAAGTGCATTCTGACGAACAGCCAGAGAGTTTGTGGGGGCATTTACATACGCCGACGCCGCGGGGATGGCGCAAAGGACTGCGGACGAAAACAACTGCAGGGTGTTCAGCTCAAACCTACCACAGATCGTTTCTAGTGTGAAGAACAGAAAGGTGTTGGTAAGATAGGTGCAAGCTGACCAGCAGGGATTTCATCCTCATTTCACACGAGGAGGAAAGGGAGTGTACAACGGATTCAAGGAAATTTGGGAAAGAGAGCAGGAGAACTGAGGAAAAGACACAACATGCTTTCGTCAATACAATTATTGTCCTTTTGGTGCATTGCGATCTCTTCCTCCTCCCTCCCCCCCTCCTCCTCTTCCTCTTCTTACCGCTACTTTCGCCATTAGAAAGGCGTCACGCTCAAAGCGGCCACCCCACCCCACCCTCATACTGAACAGACACCACCCTCTCTCTCGTTTTTCGATCTCCACCTACAATTAGGACCAACTGCACACTGACTACCCTGAATTGCTTTACACCACCCCTTAATTCACTACATATTACCCCACCCTATGTTATCTCACCAGCTCCAGGTGTTGCCTGCACCCCTTGGTCTCCAGCCCCCACCTACCCTTTCTCACCCCCTACCCCAGCAATAAATTACAACTGCCTCCTTACGACTACCCCCTTTTGGAATTGAGGACCCTTGAAACTACCCCACCCTTCTGTAAACTTCACCCCCTGACCCACTACCCCCCTGTTTAGCCCTCAACAGCTCGCCTCCTTTATATGACTCACCCCACCCCAAGGTCCACCCCAGTCTCCTCATGAGAGCTACGCCGCCGCCCTGGCCCGGGCCGCCGGTCGGCCGGGCCCTCTCACTGCAGCCCCGGGGCCGGCCTCTTGAGTGAGGCCGGTGGTCCGGGGGCCTGATCAGACCGTGCGGTCAAATTTTTGACTTTGGTCAAAACAGAGGTCAAATTTGACCCCAGTCAGTGTTCAAACTGCTTGTTTGTACGGGGGCACGTGCATTCAGTACTGTTTAAATTACTTTTAAGAATATAATATTTTGAAGAACGTGATCAACCCCCATTTAAGTGTCACCACCCCTGGATCCTAAAATCCTGAGGGGATGGTACTCCTTCAATATGTGAGACACCCCCTCATGAGTATAAATTGGATGGGAAAATTTTTATAAGATGTGTGGTAGGGTAACTACCCCTACCCTGATATCTGTTGAGTACCCCCACCCTTGTCTTGAGTCCCTCTAAAGAATAGAATCCAAGAGAAGCAACAGGGCAAGTAAGTAGAAAGGAGAGGCGAAGCGAGGAGAGAGAATGCAGAGGATCCGACGAGAGCAGAGCAGAGCAGAGCAGAGCAGAGCAGAGCAGAGCAGAGCAGAGCAGAGCAGAGCAGAGCAGAGCAGAGCAGAGCAGAGCAGAGCAGAGCAGAGGACACCAGGAGAGCAGAGGAGAGGAATTGAGAAGCAAAAGGAGAGGACGAACGAAGAAGAGGATAATTGATCCGGAGGTTGGATCTCTTGAATGGTTGTTGCCCAATACAATCAAGTTTAGGATCAGGAAGAGACTAGAGGGGTATTGCGGTATTTGAGTGCACGAAATGATTTTATCTGCGCTACATATTTCCGAATGTTTCCGAGACTGGCGAGTTTAGAATACTGCTGCATTTCAAGTTCATGGAACGATCTAATACGTTGCTCAGTCGTTGCGTATCAACACCTCGAGTTTTCTTCATATCCATCATGGGCAAGGTACTAATCGTGTTGTTCTTCCTTGTGTATCATGACCCAGTGTTCCAGGAAGACTTCGGCAACATCTACGTGGAAAACTCACCGCAGGCATACGTACAGCGGCTCGTCCCTGTTGATTACGGGCATTACCATGACCGGTACTGTGAAATGATCAACGAGGAGCTTGAGAAGTTCGCTCCCAAGGACAGAGGAATGTCCGCAGTCGAGCTCGGGTCCTCTTACGGCAACACAACCCTTGCCTACAAGTTCGGGCTGAACTGGGAGAAGGCGGTGGAATCTTGGATGCACGACGATCAGCCTCTGAAAAAGAAGTGGGACTTCAACGTTGTTGCTGTGGACATCTCGGAGCAAGCTCTCTGTACCTCCCTGCTCGCGCCTGTTCTGTCGTGCTCACATGTGCGCAGCGTACGGGAGTCGCCGCGGCATCTTCGACTCCAGCATCGTCCACGATTTCTCCAACCCCCCGTCGCACGAGCTCGCCATGGCGATTGAGAACGCTGACTTCATGACGAGCATAATGACGCTCTTCTACATCCCGACGGAGAGATGGCTGGAGGCCTGCTACAAGTTCATCGCGAACAGTGAGTTTCGCCCCCCTCATCGTCACCGCCTCTCCCTTTTCTTGCGAGAGACAGAGAGCAAGAGAGAGAAAGGGAGCGAGGGAGCAGGGGGAGGGAGAGGGGGAGGTGCGGGCGTGAGGGGCTGTGTGGTGACGTCGGGGGGTCCGGGAGCCTGGTTGAAGGAGATCACCTATGACGTCGCTGCTGCAGGAAGCAAGCCGAAGCTGCTGGTCTATAATGTCATGATGGCGTTTGACAACCGAAACCTGACGCCTGAGCTGCTGTTTGCTGGAGTCAAGGTGAAAGCCCTGTCATTGCTCTTGCTGCTCTTGCTCGCTGTTGTTGCTCTGCTGTGTTGTTTCTATTCCTTCTCTTTCTCCCCTTCATCCTTCTCCTCATTCTTCTCATCCTTAGTTTCTTCCTCCTCCTCCTCCTTGTCGTCGTCAGTTTGTTCCTCCTCCACCACCACCACCACCACCTCCTCCTCCTCCTCCTCCTCCTCTGCTCATGCCTTTTCCTCATGTTGCTTCTTTTTAGGGCTGGACCTGCCGCTCGAGCTT